AAGCATGACTCAGGCAGTTCAAACCTATAATATCGGGTAATAAAGCATGACTCAAGGCATTGGGAATCGATATAAAGACTCCTCGAAGCATGATTCAAGGCATGACACACAAGCCGAGCCTTATGTATGCATTTGGAGCTCATTTTTCGATGAATTTTGCTGCTGTTAACTTGGATCGTCGTCGCGATCGTCGCGAGATGATGCACGACTTTGCCGGTGATAGAGATAACAGTAATAGCAGTAGCGGTAGTAGTAGTAACAGTAGTGGCTGCTGCAGCGATCGATCGATCGTAATAGATAAAAGGATCCTCATTGAGATTACGATCGTCAATAGGGAACAAGGAGGATGCTTCGACGAATCCAAGAGGTCGCTCATCACGACTGTGCGTCGATGACAGGGATAAAGAACAAGCAGGTGCTTACGATCGCGAATCCAGTAGGCTGACAAGGGGATTGCTTGCGGCGAATCCAGAGGGATTAAGTTGCAATAGAGGGAAGGACTACCGATGAAAGTGCAAGAGGAAACTCTGAGCAATCTGCGATCAGAGGAGTGCTCTTCCATTGACACCTGGGTATAGAGATATAAGAACAAGAATGAGTACATACTCATAACCTCGCATGCTACCATGCGTCAATACCCATTGTGTATTGTATTAATCTAAACATCTAAAGTATGTAAAGTTTGTATTTCCGAAATAAGTGAGCATTTATTTGATTATTTTTAGAATAATGCCTGCTAATTGTAAAGCCTGTAAAGCTGAATTGTAATGGCTTGCCCGTTTCCTCTGTGCAATCCCTGGAAGACCATCGTCCAGCTCCTTTTCAGTGTTCGTCGTGTGTGAGTTTTAGTCTGGTCCGTTGCACAGTGCCGTTGGTGTCGTCGGAGAGTTGGGGATCCATAATTCTTTTGGTGGAAGGTAGGTAGTCATCCAATCCGTCGTTCCTTGTTCAGACAGTGCGTGCGATGTGATATGCAGTGTACTGGAGGTGGAAGCACTTCGCGCTAGGGATGCATGGAATGCTTGGCTTGGCTGCTTCATCGGCCATCTTGATGAAGGTGTGGCATGCAGTAACTGCGACTAGTTAATCTGCTAACGTGGGGATATACTACTTGAATAGAGGTATCTTGTAGAGTAGCTACCACCCGACGAGATCAACTGCAACTATTCAAGACGAGTGCAAGGTAAATGCAAAGTTCACTTCTTAGTAATTCATAATCTGTGTTGTGAGCTTTGATTGATGCGATCAGTAAAGCTAGTTGTAGCGTGTTGGATCAATACATCATGGTAGTTGATACGGAAGTCAACGTGGTATCTGCGGGAAACGGTTCGTTGGCAGGATGCTTTACTCCTGTCGAATACTCCAATTTACCGTGTCCTTTGGTTTCGTTGAGAACGTGTTCTTGCCAGCGTTCTCTGTTCCATCGTGTTGACTCATAAAACATGACTCAATCTACTCACGGATACTCTGAGTCGTGGGAGGAACTGTAACGCTTTCAATGGTGAAGGAATAGGTTGAGGGTAGCTGAAAGCTATTGTGTTTGTTAACAAAATGCACTACGCTAAAAGCTAGTGTAAAGATCTTTCGAGTGTTTTGAGTTTGAGAGAATGAAAGTTATGAGAGGATTAGAAAGCTATGAAAACTAATCAACGAGAGAGATCATCATCAAGGGATCGTAGATCTGAACTCCCGTGGGAGACTGTAAAGTGTGATAGAGTAGGTTGTGGTAGTAATCCTACTCGTTCCACGATCCAAAAACGGAACGCGTGGAAGATTCGTCTAGCATTTATCTAGTAGCGTGGAATCTCTCCACGCCAGCTAAATATCTAGCGTGATGTTTCACCATCGACCTAGTATGACTAGCGGTCATGAGAACCCTGTCTCAATGACTATTCACGAGAGACTCAGTCATGAGTCGAACTCAAACCCCATCTAGGATCGAGTCGCGAATAAGGCTAAGAGCCGTGTATTGCATCTGTATGGTTGTAGGAGATAGGTGCACCTTCAAAAGACTCTCTGCCAGTTCCATGACATCTTTGCCTTGGTGAGATCGCTGTAGCAATATTTGATCAGGATCCAGCATGGGATGGCCACAATGAGTTGCTTTCCCTGCTTGGTTCATAGGAAGGTACCAGCGGAAGTTAAATTCGCTGAAAATAACCTGAAAGTGGAAAGGATACGTGATACCTTCACCTCTGATAGGTAGCTGTGTTGTTTTTCTCTTGCTGTCATCACACTCCTGTGAGGTATAGAACGTGTACCGTAAACGGTATATTGTGAAGACAATGCATATGTTAGCAGAGTTATACATGCGGTAAACGGTATATTGTATGTATTATATGAATATATTATAGGCGGTAAACGGTATATTGTACGTACCGAAGGGGCGTAGTACCTGTGTCTGGGACATACAATTCTGATGATTTTTTCTTTCTTATCCCATCCTTTGTTCTTTATTCTTAATAAAGTCACTTGCACACTGCTGCAGCTGTTGAATTTACTGGGAAGCCAATATACATTGATGAGTGAAGACTTCAAGTTGTATATGTATCCATCAGTCTTCCTCTCTGTATATTCCAGTGTATCCATAAGATTGACTTCTATCTCTCTATCATCTTGAAGAGAAGTAGCAATCTTCAATATCACTTCAGTTGGTTTCCAGACAGCTGAAGTGCAGTCAAAGTTGGAAAGATTATGTAGGTTTTCAAAGTATTCAGCCATTGTTGATCTGTTTGCTTTGTTGATATGATGCTGACTTGTGATGCTGCTGCTGTTGTACATGGACACAATGACTTAGATAATGACCAAAATTCGTCTATGGTAAACGGTAAACGGTGGTACTCAGGAAACAAAAGAATCTAAACAATATACGGTAAACGATATAGAATTTTCTTTGGTAAACGGTATATGGTTGAAATGGTATACGGTTGACCTTGTGTAATCGGTGTTACACCGTTCACATCGTTTACTGTATACCATATTCGCCACCTCATTGGTGGTGGCTAAATTATTAAGCAGAGGTATTTTTTATTTAAGTGCCACCTGGTGGCCTGCTACATTGTGGTGCTGTTGACCCGCTGTCTTAGTAAATACATAATCTACTTCAACCTCCTGTCTAAGAAAAGACATCGTCTTTTTTAAGCATAAGACAATGACTTCTTTAAGACGGTCATCATCTTAAGTTTAAGATGGCCGTCTTAAGACAGAGTCATTGTCTTATGCTTTAAGAAAGCTGTCTGATGGGACTCAACTTCAATGTGTGATTTTCTTTTTTCCAAACAGAGTTTTTTCAATACCACTGTTTTACCTGGAGGTGCAGGTACAGGCTGAATCTAAACTATCGAGACAAACGCAAGCCCGCTCCCGGTACGACATTCGAATGTGAACCGGAACTTCCAGGAACGTTGTGTGAAAAGACTTAAGGGGCATATAGCCTTAACCTTAATCTCAACTGACATCACTCGGATCGATCCAAGCCACTCGTACACCTCTTTCACTACTTTGATCGATACCTCTACATGTATCTTTGCTCTATCAAGATGATGTTTCCTCCTCAGCGGCTACTACTCCTCTTAGCGGCTTACTCCTCTTAACAAAGGCTACTACTCAACACCATGGCAGGCTCCTCTTGTTTGGTTAGCGGCAACGGCAGCCGTTCGTCGGATCGATCGGCCGACGGATCGATTCGGGCCTCTTTCACGGAAGACGCGAAGCAACAACAACCCACAATTCCTTTGAGTGGTGTCGTCACTCTCGAGGGACATCAACGAACAACCTTTCTACCGACTTGTACGGGAGGAAGGTCGGATGAGATGGAGTTGACCTTTCAGGGCGATGGTACTCTCACGGGCAAGCGCAATGCGGCAGATGGTGCCACGACCGTACTGAAAGGACAGTGGTGCTCGGGTTCGTTTACTTGGAAGGAAGCAGATCCCAAAAACGACAAGATCTTGCTCGCAATGGCCAATGGAGTCTACGACAAGAATGCCAGGGGTGTCTTATCCGTTGTTGGAGATTTCCGCACTGCGTCCAAATCTCTTGGCAAGCTTCGTTACAAGTCTACTTGAATTGCAGGTTGGTCTGTCCATTTCTTGTCCCGTACATTCATTGTAAAGCCCGATGTTGAACGCTTCGTCTATTCAATCTTGCTGGTCCACAATCCACAATAGCCATAGAAGACTGCATGGCTGGTACTTGCCTGATTCATAATTGTTTCTTCCGACAGGTTTTCTTTCCCTTCGCATCGCTGTAGTTGAAGCTCCTCCACAGCGAGCTTGCTGACAAGCATGCAATCACTCTTGGGGGTACCGGTACAGCGTACCGGGGTACCAGGTACTGGTAGCTCCGACTAGCCCAACTGTCACTAAGGTGCATACAAAATTTAGTGATTTGAGCCAGAAACCAAGAGTGTAAGGGCTCCAAAGATCCAGCTAAGGATCCTTTGGTTGGGACAACCATGGTCTGTCGCAAGATGATATCATACCAGCAATTTTCCCGAACGGTTTGGGGGTCAATCACCTCAAGACCGTCCACTTGTATCCGATGCCACAGAGCCAGAGACCCAAAAGGGCGAGAAAAGCAAGAATTCAGAACATACAGCTTCGATGGCTTCTAAAAGATCCTTGAAGGTGGGACTTTTGTTCGAAGTCGTCACTCCACACAGTCTCCACCATCCGCCAACAAGAGGTTCTAGTACCTTGTCCCTTTCGTGACAACCATGGCGTTGCTCCGTCCCACCCATCTGCTTGGCCTCATGAATGCGATGTGGTTGGTTCAAAGCCTAGGATCATACCGGCTCCCAGTGCGGACTACTTTTCGATTGGCAGTCAACAGCATCAGCACTAACAACAAGTCGCTTCCATGTTGGCACACGGTGGGTTTTTTCCGGCAACCATCAGCATGCTTCATGGTCCGAAGAAACTATCGCACGACATCAAGTAGAAATGAGGATAAACCGGGACGGCCAGATCGGCGACAGCGATCTCGTCGGGGTAGACCAAGAAGCCCTCCGCCACCCATGCCGCCACCCGGCAGTCCCGGACGAGGTTGCTTCAAGGAGCTCATAAAGCCAGGACTTGCAGTTTTGGTTGTCCAAAAATCACACCAACGAAGCGGCGAAGAAACTCGCGGTGAAGTTGATCGCCTTTTGACCAATTCACGGTACCATCCAAGGGGAATCAAAGTCATGCTGGTGGGAGGAATTGTTGGAAGAGTCACACGGATTGCTTCCGAGGAGAAGAGCACGGATGTGCCCCCATAGAATGAGTTTACTTGATTTTGGATTTCAGAACCTGGAATTGTGAAGTGAAGTCAGCATACGACTGTACCCTAAAAGTACCGGCATACTCAGGAAAGTTTAGAGCATTGGTTTCCCGTCGGTGGCTTCTCTGAGAGAAACGCAGGATGCCAAATTATCAGTGATGCATCTTCAATCCAAACGATAATGTGTTAAATGATCAAGGGAAGGACTACATGAATTTATCCAAGGGGATTCTAGAGTAGGACTAATGAGTACTACTTTACAACTATTTGTTTCCTTTCTTCGCCTTTGCAGCAAGGCTCTTTCGGCGGTACTCATCCATCTCTTTCATGAAGTAGACAACACGGTCTTTGCCGTCCCATGTCCATTTCTCGGCCTCCTTCTTGGGAACTTTAGTGTCCACAAAGTAGGCAGTGTAATTCTTGCCCTCTGCCCCCATTATCCCTCGCACCACCTTCATGAAGCCTGACTGTCCATGAACAACTTTCTCACACATTCCAGCCAAGTGTGTCTCTACTTGAATGGCCAAGACTTCAAATGGGCCATCACCACTGGGTATATGAGACTCCCAACCACCATCAACACCACTGTAGCGAGTCCTGTTCAAGTAGAACCAGTGGTAATTTGTATGGTATTGTTTGATCTCATCAATAGTAGTATGGTCATCAGTCAGCAGCAGAACATTGTCACCTTCCTCCACATGCGCAACATCCAAGTATTCCTGAACAGATGCATATCTGCGGTATGGTTGGCGGGGAAAGCCTGCATCTCCTCGTCTCACATGCATGGTGGTGCATGGAAGCTGTAGGTTCACCGAGAGTTTCATTTCTAGCAACTTTCTGCGGAAAATCTGTGTTGGTCTGAGCATAAACTCTTTCAGCCATTGGAACTCAGTCCTAGATTTGTCATCTCGCTTAGGTTCCGCATAGACGCGACCCTTCACATGTGAAGGCAGGTTCCTCTTTGGTACAAAATCACGTTCACATTTGGAGATCGGAAGGATAAGGCATGTGATGTCCTCGCTGTCACAGTAGGCCCAATGGAACTTGTCTTGAGGACCATAAAGCCATGGAAAGTTATGCTGTGTGATCTGGAAGGGCTTTTTGGCAAGGCTGGAATGTAAGAATGTGTAACCCAACCAGTTGGTGGAAGCAGAGTAGCCTGAGTTGATCTGTGTAGATGTGATCACTTGTGAGCAGTCCCCTTTCCATTGGATGTCATATAGGCTCTGGAAGAAGGCAGCCTTTGTCCCATTCTTCATGGGTGCAAAGCATTGTTGCGTCAATGTCTCTGTGGAGATTTCCCATGTAGGTTTGTGGACCGCCCAATCATCGACATCGGTGTCCCAATCTGCGCAACATTCCCTGCCACCAGCGCTAGTTGCATGGCAGGACATTGGGCCGTCCGTTGTGTCCAATGCCACGCCTGGTATTGTCTGGCTGAGATCTTTTCCATCCTTATTTTCTGGGGACAGAGCCAATTTTTCTGCAGGCAATGCGTCGGTGGCACTATCCAGGGCTTTCGCCTTCTTTTTGGCATTGCTCTTCTTTCGGTACTCATCCATTTCCTTCATGAAATAGGCAACACGTTCCTTTCCATCATATGGCCACTTCTTTGCATGTTCTTTGCCCACCCCTGTTCTGACAAAGTATGTGTCCACAAACTTGCCTTCTGCTTCCATCATGCCCCGGATAGTTCGCATGAAGCCTGAGGTTCCATGGACAAACTTTTTGCAGAAACCAGCTAGGTGAGCCTCTGTTTTGATGGCTGCAACTTCAAAAGGACCATCGCCACTTGGGACGTGGCTCTGCCAACCTACAACATGTACAGGTGAAGAGAAATGATGAGTCTTTCCCGACTGCAAACCTTACACCGACAAGGCCACACATTTACAACGTACCTCCCTCAGTTCCACTATGACGTGTTCTGTTCAAGTAGAACCAGTTGTAGTTTGAGTGATACTGCTTGATTTCATCGATTGTAGTCTGATCATCAGTTAGTAGTAGAATGTTGTCACCATCTTTAGCATCGGCTTCATCCAAGTACTCTTGGACAGCAGCATATCTGCGGTATGGTTTCTCAGGAATGCCACTGTCTCCACGTCTGGAGATGCAGCAAAAGCAACTTGTCAGCAACATACTACCAATATTATGGTGGCAAAGCAATGCCTCAAACAATACCCCCACTTACCTAACATGCATTGTGAGACACGGGGTCTTCAAGTCAATGGATGTCGTCATCTCATACACTTTCTTCCTCATGATTTGATTTGGTCTGAGCAGGAAGTCCTTGCGCCACTCAAAATCCAGTCGAGCACTTGGGTTGTTCCTTGGTTGTTTCCAGACACGACCAATCAAGTGCCGGCGTAACTGCTTCTGTGGCACATAATCACGTTCACATTTGGATACTGGAAGAATAAGGCAGGTGATGTCCTCACTTTCACAGTAGGCCCAATGTGACTTGTTCTTAGGGCCATACATCCACGGAAAATCGTGCTGTGTAATTTGGAAAGGCTTCTGTTCAATGCTTGAGTTCAAGAATGTGTAGCCCAGCCAGTTGATGCTGGCCGAGTAACCTGAGTTGATTTGTGTAGACGTGATCAACTGCGAACAGTTTCCTTTCCACTGGATATCATACAGACTCTGGAAGAAGGCAGCTTTTTCGCTGTTCATCATGGGTGAAAAGCACTGCTTTGTTGGGGTCTCCCTTGTGGCTTCCCATGTTGGCTTGTGAAGCCACCAATCATCAACATTAGTGTCCCAATCTGCACAACATTCAAAGTCATTTTCGTCGGAACACGTCAATGGGCCTTCAGTTTCTTGCACAGCTGGAGGCTCTGTCGCAACAGCTGTTCCGTCGGTGCTACCATTCGGTATCTTGTCCTTCTCTTTCCCTTTGCTGTTGGCTTTGGATGATATGGCCTCAAGCAAGCTTGCTGCCCTCTTGAAGGGTTTTCCGTAAAACTCAAGTGCTTCTTCTTCGTCCGCAGCCGTGTTCACGTAGAACAATTCCACTTGTCGCCCTTGCGACTTGACATCTTCCACGAAAGCTCTCATGAACGGAGCTCTCCGTATGCAACTTTGTTGCAAGTCGCTGCCATCTTCAGCTCTGCATCAATTGCAAGCAATTCAAAAGCAGGGTCTCCCGAAGCAATGTGGTTGGAGTATCCTCCGGATACGCCACTCTGCCTGGGACGATTCAAGTAGATCCATTTGTAGTTTGGATACTGCTTTGTTTCTTCAATGGCATTGTTGTCATCAGTCAAAAGAAGAATGCTGTCTCCTGGTTGGACCTTTGCTGCATGAATGTATTCGTCCAATCCTGCATAACGGCGATAAGGCTTCTTTGGGAATGCTACATCTCCACGCCTGACATGGATTGCGGTGCATGGGTATTTCATCTCAAGCGCTTGTCGCAGCTCAAAGGCCTTCTGCCGAAACACTTGTTTTGGTCGAAACATGTACTGTCGTAGCCAGGTGAATTTCCACAACCTGCGAGGCTTCAATTCTTGTCGTTCTTCTGGATTAAAGCTGTCTCTTGGACACGGCGAGATTGGGAGCATGTAGCAAGTGATGTCACTGTCCTCGCAGTATCCCCAGCTGTCTTTGTCCTTTGTAGCATACATCCAAGCATCCTCGCTCTTGGCAATCTGGAACGGCTTGTTGTTTCGGTGCGCATGCCAAAACGAATAGGCTAACCATGACATTCCAAAACCCCACCCCGAGTGGACCATGTCACTTCTTTGAACTTCAGAGCACTTCCCTGTAACCCACTGGCGTTCATGAAGATCCCTCATAAACTGTGCCCTGATTTGATCCCGAATTGGCGAAAAGCAAAAGCTTTCCTTGTCCTCCCTGCTGACTTCCCAATCAGGTCGATGAAGCCACCATTGATCAACATCAACATCCCACGAGGCACAGCATTCTACAGAGGACGACGTGTTCTGACACTTCACCGCGCGATTGGCATCATCGACTGACAGCCCCTTCAAGGAGCCCGTCCTTGCTTCTCGAGATGGATTAGATGCATCTCCTTGCTGCATCGCTAAAGTCTTGTTGCGATACACTTCTTCAATGTCGTCCAGGAACTTGACGATTCGCCCCTCCGTGTCTGCCTTCCACTTGCGTGCTTCCTGCTTCGAGACTTCTGTGTCGACAAAATGCTTTGTATAGGATTTGCCACTTATGTCAAGATCATCCATGAGACTCGCCATGAAGCCACTGACTCCAAACACCATTTTTTCGCAGGTTGAGGCCAGTTGTAGCTCAGACGCTATCGCAACCATTTCCAGGCCATGATCCTGCGATGGGATGTGTCCATCAAAGCCATTGGCAACTCCACGATTCCTTTGTCTCTCAAAGTACATCCAATTGTAGTTGTTGGGTAGGTGCTTTTTGATTTCGTCAATTGTGGATTCATCGTCTGTCATTAAAAAGACGTTGTCTCCTTCCTTTAAGCTGCCAGCGTCAACGTATTCTTGCACAGCCGCATATCTTCTGAAGGGGGTTGTTGGCACGCCCGCATCTGACCGTCTTACATGGATTGTTGTGCATGGGTATTTCATGTGGATGGATTGTCGCATTTCGTAAATCTTTTGCCGAAACTTCTGGTTAGGTCGTGTCAGGTACTTTTTGAGCAAGTAGTGTAGCTCCTTTTCATGCTTGTCCCTGGGCCTGGCATCGTGATGTTCTCCTCGAATCGTTTCTCGACGGGAACACCGCGACACGGGAAGATAGTAGCAGCTGTTCAAACCCGCCAAAGTATAAGAGTGCAAGTGTTAGAAGAACGAACGCACAGCCAACCACCACACCCACACACAATGTTTGGTGTTTTTCGTACCGAGTATCTTCACTTTGGCAATAGGCCCAACTGGAATTATCCTTGGCAGCGTACAACCATTGTCGATTGCCGTGAATGATTTGAAAGGGCACTTTGTTCTTGTGCGCATGCCAAAAGCTGTTGACCATCCACGCAATGCTACTTCCAAATCCCGAGTTGACTTCGACCGTCTTTTCGACACCCGAGCAGTTACTGCTGTGCCATTGTCGGTCATGCACTTGCTGCAAAAACTCCCTCCACTTGGCATTGGGAATGGGCGCAAAGCAGAAATGTGTCTGGTTTTCCAGTGAGATCTCCCATGTGGGATGATGGATCCACCATGGATCGGCATCCACCTCCCACGTGCCACAACATTGTTCTTGGTTGCACGTAACTAGTTGGTTTGCTGCCTCCAGTTCCTGCGGGGATGGGATTGGTCGATCGTCCTCACCCGGTGTAAATTGCGTCGTCGTGATGTCGTCCACTACCATGGCTTTTTGCATTTTGTTCTTCCTTTTCTTCTTCTTCTGTTGCTGTTGACTGATAAGGGTGCCATACTTGGGTGCAATGCCCCGTTGTGCATAATACGTGTCAATATCATGAAACATGGCATTGACTCGATGCGTTTTTTTGCGGGCCCACTTTTCCATGGTCTCTTCCTTGTCGACCCCGGTATTCAAAAAGAACTTTTGATAAGGCGTGCCTTCCAAATCGAGTCGTTCCACCAAATTCTTGGTAAATGCCGATCGACCACCAATAACGGCATGGGTACACCGCGACAGTGCCAGTGCCAATTCCGTTTCAATGGCCACCAGTTCGCTGGGAGGATCTCCCGATGGCAAGTGTCCATTGAATCCTCCTTCCAAACCGGTATACCGTGGCCGGTCGAGATAGACCCATTGATACTTTTGCTCATTGTTGCTAGTATTCGAATGATACGTATGAATTTCATCAATGGTCGATTGATCGTCCGTCAAGAGAAAAATGGGAGATCCCATGGGCACAGCATCATTGTCGTCGTCCAGTTGATCGAGATATTCCTGTACAGCGGCATACCGTCGAAAAGGTGGTCGTAGATTGCCGACATCGGTGCGTCGCACGTGCAAGACACTGCAGGGTTGTGTCAAGCGTGTGTCCAGTGCTTGGGATTGTCGCAATTTCCATTGTTGGGTTCGAAAGACGTGTTTGGGTCGATAGATGTATTCGCGGATCCATTGATAGTGGAGTTTGTGAATGGGATCTTGTCCCGACCGTGCCGGATAATGTTCTCCGAGAATGGATTCGTTGCGATTACACGGAGAAATGGGCAAATAGTAACATCTTGAATCGGTTTCGGGACAATATCCCCAATGCTGTGTGTCGTTGGTAGAGTAGATCCAGACTCGTTTGTTGGTGGCAATTTGAAAGGGACGGTGTGGTTGTTGCTGCTGTGTGGCATGGAACATGGATTGTACAATCCAATCCGTGCTGGCGCCATAACCGGAATTGAGTTCAATGGATTTCATAATTTGCGAACAAGAACCTCCATTGTCCCATTGTAGTTGATGGAGTTGATTGAGAAAGTGCCGTTTGGTATGGTTGGCAATGATTTGAAAACAAAAATGCGTGTCATTTTGCAGTGCCATGGGACTCTCCCAATCGGGTCGATGCAACCACCAATCATCAATCTCCTGATCTCTTATACTACTATCAGTAGCATCTGACCAAGCAGCACAGCAGTGTTGGTGTTGTTGTTGTGGATTGGACTCAGTGGCGGTACACGTCATAAAGTTGGGCTTGTTTGCTTCAGTGACAGCCTTGGCTTCTTTTGTTGCCTTTTTGGGTGACGATGAAACAGACTCTGCTGGTGCTTCAGTGACACGTTTGTCTTGTTCTTTTGGTTCATCTGGTTGCTTCAATGGTGTTTTTCGGGGTGATTTTGGTTGTACATGATCTGCAGAAGGTGTTGTTCCGGATTGCTGGACCTCTGTGCGCCGTTGACTCTGGCTGATTTGCGTAGTACGAGCTTTTGCTTCTGGCGAGGAATCCGAATCTTCTTGTTTATTATTTGCTTTGTTGACTTGTGGCGGTGGTGGTGAATCATCCTGCGATAATAAGACGGGCGCCTCTTCATTGGTGTTGCCAATACCGGTACTTCCAAGAGTTGTCAAGGAAATGGAAAACCTAGAAAAACCCAACAGTTGAATAGAGACCAAGATGAACGCAATCACCAATGCCAAGATGCGGATGCGACCAAATTTCATCATAGTGGAGTTGCTTCTTTCAATAATATAAAAGATGGGATACTGGTGTGGTTGGGAGTGGGGAAGGCGGTGGTGTTGTGGTTACGGCTGTAGAAAGTGTTGTTGCTGGTTTGATTTGTGGCGTTGTGATCTTGGTCTTCGATGACAAAGGTCTTTGATGCCAGTAAAATGACCGTAGTGACCTCCAACGGAAGGCCGAAGATTGGGATCATCCAGAAACCATTCGAGGTCAGAAGTTGAGGTCGGGGGGTCATTCTGGGAACCATAAGTAAAAAAAATCGCACTGAGTCACGACCTTGACTTACCAAAAATTGTGTTCAGAAACAAAAAGAGGTGCTCAGAAGAGTGATGTCGCCAGCGGTGAAACCTGTTGGTACTTAGCAGTACAAAGTCTACATGGCGTTCTACGTATTACATCTCTACTCATAAAGTTTGTTCCAAATTCTTTTGCTGTGGCATAGTTTCTGCAATGGACGATCAAGCCCGCTGGAGTCGGGTGCACCATCAAAGGCGTCGGAACTTCTTGTTGCTGTACTTGCTTGACATCCAAGACCTCAGATTCAGGGAGCTGTTGGATGATGAAGGACGTCTTAGAAGAGACCGCCGAATTCCTCGAATTGCGTTGCTCTCACCAACAGACTCGCCTTGGGCCAAACTGTATGCGTCCGGCAACAACCAGGCATTGATCACCACAACAGGCTTCGATCACAAGTCATTTCGAACCCTTGTGGAGCTGTTTGCGCCCTGGTTCAAGGGTAATACACCATGGACTGGCAAGCAAGATGGAACAACCTTCAAAAAACTCAGTAAATATACCCATGGCCGCTCAAGAATTATTGATACAGAGACGTGTGTTGGTCTTGTTTTGACTTGGTACAGATTCAGAGGCGGCGAGTTTGTTTTACAAGGATGGTTTGGTTTTACTGCCAATCATGCCAATGTCTGGCTACGCTTTGGAAGACGTGGCCTTTTGAAAGTGTTATCAGGTCATCCCCTGGCTCGTGTTGAGTTTCCTTCCTCCACAGAGCAAGTTCACCTCCTTTGCAAGCTTGTTGAGTTGCGGCATAACATGCTGCCGGATGTTGCATTTGTCATGGATGGTGTCAAACTGATGTTTGAGAAAGCAGAAGATCTGGACGAACAGAGTATGTACTACAACGGCTGGACGCACGATCACTACATTACCAACGTCTTTTGCTTTGGCGCTGATGGTACTATGGTTGCTGCTGCTGTAAATGCTCCTGGCTCCATGCATGACAGCACGATCGCCGAATACGGCAGCATTTACAGCCAGCTCGAAGATATCTATCAACGTACAGGTGCCAAATGCTGTGTCGACTCGGCTTTCTCTGCTGCAGAAAGGCCTTACATTGTGAAATCGTCGGAGAACGTACTCCGAGCTGGTTCACCCGAGCAGCTGATTCAACAGGAGCAGGCTACGTCTCTGCGACAGGCTTCAGAATGGGGAATGCGTGTTGTGCAATCTGCTTTCTGCCGACTCAAAGATCGCATTCATCTTGAAGACAATGGAGAACGCCGAGTTTTTCTGTTGTTGATGCCTTTGCTGTACAACATTCGGCTTAATCTAGTTGGTTTGAATCAGCTTCGAAATACCTACGTTCCGATGTGGAGCGTCGATTCATCCTACTTTATTCACAAGTAACACAGTTTTATTTTTTCTTTTCTTTTACACTACTTAGATTGGCTTGTTGTTTGTCTTGTAGTTGTCATTTCATTTCTTCTTTTTCAAATATACAGAGCCCAGAATGGGCTTCATCTCCTCGTCTCCTTAGACCGCGGGCATCTTGCGTCCACCCTCATCCTTGCTGTCAGCATCGTCCTCGTTGTTCTTGGGCTTAATACCATATGGATACTTGAGCTCGACTTCAGTTCCAGATGAACTAGAGTCATCCAGAAGATCGACGGTCTTACTGGACTTCTTTTTCTTACCAGGAGAAGACGAATTCTTGCGCTTGCGCTTGAGCTGCTTCTTCTTTTTGTATCGCTTGAGCTTCTTCTTGAAAGAAAGCTTCTTTCCATCATCAGAGCTATCATCAGAGCTCGAGGAGGAGGAATCTGTCAAAGAGCTGTCGCTGCTGGGATAACGGGCTGGTTCTTGCATAGCAGGGATCTCCACTCTACGGCCTGACATCGCTGTTGCAAGAGCTGTAAAAGCTTGAGTCGCAACCATCATAGTGCGTTCCATTTGTTTGTCATGCCGTTTTGCTGCACGTTCTTCCCGTTTGGCTTGGGCTTTGTCAGAAGCAATGATGGCTTGCACAATGCCCTCTCTAGCAGAATCACGAGCCTTGCTCTTGAGAACCGACTTGGGTTGATACAATCCTTCAATAATGGCTGTATCCTTCTTTTTCTTCTTCTGGTCGCCCATTGTGCTGCCAAAGCCATCCCCAACGTTTGCCATTGTCAACATGCCTGCTTTCTCCTTTATTCCTGCTTGAATTCTCTTGGCCCGTTTGGTGAGAGGAGGACAGTCTGGATCACCGGTGGGTGGCTTCTTAGAAACATGTTTGTTGAATTGGGATTTCAAATTTTGATATCCCCTCTTGCGATCAGGAAAGAGATTGTTGTACTCGTTGGTCACTTTAGTGAACTCTTCCTTGCCGATGGGAAGGATTCGCTCCATTATATCTAACAACACCGACACTTCCCCATCAGTGAAGTGGCTGTCACCACCACCAGCTGAGAGAACTTTCTTTGTTCCTTTGGCAGCAGCAGCCTTCGCCTTGGGCTTTGCTGTCATGGTTGTTCCAGCCGATTCTTGGGAGGCCTTCTTGGTCTTGGGGGCAGGAGCTGCTTGTGTCAGGGGCGACCACTTGGACGGGCTTGGTAACATAGGAGGAGCACTGTGGCGTCCGCTACGTGGCTCTTGTGGCACTCCTCCAGTGACCGTGGGCCACTGAGCAGCTGCCATGCTGTAAGCTCCAGTGTTCCAGCGATAAGGAGTTTCTTGCATCGGACGCACAGCAGTGGGGGGCCTTGGAAGAGACGGTGGCGCCGTATTCGATGGAGGAGTAGTCCAGATGGCAGCAGCTGCCTGAGGAGTCTTGGCATTAGATCCCAGAGCACGATCAGCGATAGCAGCAGCTTCCATATCTCTCTCAAACTGATGCTGGCGACGAGCTTCAGCTTGATTCCTGGCTTCTTCTTGAGCCTCTGCAACTGCACGGGCAAATGCAACTTCGTCAGAATCTGGTGAGAATGACAGCCTTCCATAAAAGTCTGGGTGCGTGGGGTACCAACCTGCAACAAGGTGTTCTCTTGGGCTTGGCGTTGTGCCAGTTGGCGATGGTTTCTCAGGTGGCGGCGCACCTGCTCCTGCCTCCATCACCCAATCCTTCTTACGCCCTTTCTTCTTGCTTTTTTCTACTGGTTTCTCAGCCTGCATTTTAGAAATGAGACCAGAAACAACCTCAGAAACAAAGCTTGGAGGTCGCGATGAGAGGTATCTTTTGCTTACGTTGTCCCTGCTTCGAATTCCACTGCCAAGGAACAAGAATTTCAAGGGCGACATGGCAGGGAAAACGCTCTGCTGTTTAGACAAGCTTGGCTACAAAAGTCGAGGCAGAACAGATGGCAGCTGCCTGCATATCTTTCAGCAAATTCCGCATCCTTCCTTCTATGCACAAAGCTGTGTTTGAATGCAGAGCAGCTACAACAAACAGAAACATCAGCGGAATTGTTGTTGATGGACGACCTCATTTTTCTTTGATACGACTATATGATTTGAGTGTAGGTTTTCGAGTTTTCCAGTCAAGCAACAATTTGATGGTAATTAGGCGCAATTTGCTTAAGTATCAATTTGTTGCTAAATAAAAAAATCGATCGTCCTGACCCAACCCGTTCGGTTCCCTGGTCTGGTAAAACTTGAGGTCAACCCAAAGTAATCCGGATCTTATATATTTTTAATATTGCCCAAATGACCCCCCGACCTCAAATTCTTACCTCGAATGGTTTCTGGATGATCCCATTGAGGGCGATTTCCTGTACTAGCTAGTAAATCTTTGGATCGATCTTTGGATCTTTCATTCAAGTACTAGTCTACAGTACTAGTACTGTATTTATTTACTAATACGCTATGTTCTCAAGCCCATCATTCACATCATCAAGTCCATTAAAATTTAGAACAGACAGCCGTAGGCTAGTGCCCTCAACCAGAATTGAATAAAAGCCAAGGGGCTCGAGCAGTTAGCTAGTATTTGCTCCAATGCTATGAGTGATTACAATATCTAACCATGTTCTTTGTTGTCGTTGTTGCCCTGTTGTGGATTCCATGTCTGAGGTTTTGGCGGCAACTCGAATGAAGTTCATTCTCCGAAGACTTGTAGTAATGAGCACTCGACTGGATTGGTCTGCCCAGTACTTAAACCAGCCAGCTTGCGTTCAAGTTCATTGTAGAGTGGTGCTCCTTTTGCAAATGGCACATGTGATTTTCGTGATGTTGGCTTGAGCATTCCACTGATAATACCGGTGTGTGTAATCAGCGACCTTTTTAGCACGTCCTTTACTCCATTTTTCCATTTCTTAATCTTTTTTCCCTTTGTTGTTCTATCTTATCCCAATTTGGACGGTGCTCTTGCTCCATGCTGAAACCTGCTCACGCCAAAACTAATGTCTTCTGCTTCCAACTCTCATAGTAGTCATTGTAGCGTTGTATTTCAGCCTCGCGTTCGTCAGTTGCCTGTTCAGCACACTTGACAGTTGCCATCTCAGTCTGTCAGATTCCTGCCTGATTTCTGCCTGCCTTGATTCTTCTTCTTTCCATTCAAGTTGCACCCATCCATTGCTTCCCACTGTGCCACTTCTCCAAAAGCTGGCTGTAGAATAGATCATTCATTCGTATCTTCTTCTCCAGCTCGGATTCTTTGTTCGATGAATCTATTTTCTATTTTTTTCAGCCTCATTTTATGATCCTCTCTTTGCGTTCTCAAAAAGTATATCTGGACCACTCTCTCCGTTTCCTGTCTCGGTCCTTCCTTTTCCGATTCTCTGATTGTTGCTTTGTTTCCTCCTTACGACTCTTGCACTTCCTTTTTCGGTCGGCTTCCCTCTTAGGTCTTTCTCCTCTTCTGTCAATCCAGCCCGATGGAGACGCATTCTTTCTCGTTGGGCTTCTAAATCTGCAAGTTCCTGCTCGTTGTTCTGTTGGCTAACTTCCTCTGTTTGTATATGCGATTGGCCTCAAGTTTCCTATGTAAGCAGGTGTTCCACGTTTGACAGGCATGTTGAAAGCAGCAGTTCCAAGACTATGTATTGATGGACGATGGATGGGATTTGGCATGAACCCCCAGGGTGGCTGCTACGGCTGCTGGTGTTCTGGTTGTGGAGGGGCTGGGTTCTCATCATGGGGCATCTGCACGGACATAAAAGGGGAGCTGCAAGGACGGAAATCACAACAAATAGTTCAAAGGCCCTCAGCTTGCTAGTTGAGGGCAATCGTTTGGTTATTGCTCGACTTTGTTGCTAATGAAAGGGCCCGAAATGGTGATTTACACCAAATTCCGATTTATACTTGTGGTTCGATTTTATATTTTGGTTTCGGTTTTATATTTAGGTTTCGATTTTATATTTAGGTTTCGGCTTGATTTCACTAGTTATTTACCATAGTAATTTGGTTTCGGTTTTATATTTTGGTTTCGGTTTTATATTTTGGTTTCGGTTTTATTAATATATTTAGGTTTGGAATTGATCAATTTAATTGGATTCTTAAAATCCTGATTTCGGGCCCTTTCAATAGCTTGTCTATGATACGCAGCCAAGCAAGCAAGTAAGCGTGTCCTTTCAAGGGCAGCTCATGAGTTCATAGAGCAAAACACCTTGGCTGCTCTCTACCATACCGGTACTACGAGATCTATCATATACCGGTAGATAGAATTCAATGGCACGGGGATTGAAACTTACATCATGTTCCGGAACAACAGACAAGGCTTGATGCTGCTGATCCAGATTCCACATCTATTACTAGTCTGTACTTCGTGGTGGAACGCCAACAGCTTCTTGGTAGAAGCATTGCTCGGCCATAGTCGCATCTGTCCACAACGACATCGACAGCAAGCAGAAAAACAACTACTCTGGACTACTACTAGTACTGAAAACAACAACGACGACCAAGCCAACAACGACTTTGGTATTTGGGTGTACCATCCAGGGGAACAAGAGGAATGGATCTCTCATTCAGCAGAAATGCTACAACAACATCAACAATCATCGCCACTGCAAGAAACCCTGCACTGGTGTCGAGACTTTGTCGTTCCACTCAATTTGTGTCCGTGGGCTGCATCGTCCGTGACAACTCCACGAGCCATGCAATTCTACATTGTTCCAACTACACATAGTAGTACAAGTACTAGTAGTATTGGGTCACAAAAAGACGAAATGGCGCATGTGGTCCAAACGGTGGCGCAAAAGTTTCACCAGTCAATCATTGAAGAAACAAAAGATGACGACGACGACGACTTGAAGAAGGTCGCCATTGCCTTTATTCTCATCGAACAACAACACTCATCCACATCAACATCATCATCAGCCACATCTTCACCACCACCACCACATCATTGGAGTGAGTCCTTTCCAACCTTTTATGACTGGTTCATAGATTTGGAAGACGATTGGATTGATCAGGCAGAAGAATACAATGATGAAGACACGACAACACCAGTCAGCAACATTTACACAGATGTGACATTGGCTGCCTTTCATCCAGATTGGATGTATGGGGAGTCTGACAATGGTGACGGTCTGGACTTTGAAAAGAGGAGTCCCGTTCCAACCATTACATTGGTGGCTACCGAAACCATTGATGCAGCTGGACCACAGGCGACCGAACGAATTGCCAATCACAATGCTCAAGTTTTGCAACACGAAATGACACCAGAACAAATACAGACACTCTACCAACGAGTTGTTCGGGGAGAAGAACAAGCACAAGAACAAGCACAGGAGGACTAACTAAGAAAAGCCACTCTCTTTTGCAGACAACAACTTACTTTCTTCCTCCTCGACCATTATTATCTATTGGCGAGCTTTTTCTATAACTAGCCTATGCATGCTCGGGCTTGAGCTTCCATCGCCCCTTGTCGATTCGGGCCACCGTATTCAACAGACGCTTGAAAATGGCAGCGTCGTCGTCGCCCACAGACGAAAACGCGTCCAGAATCTCATCGGATGTGGGGTTCTTCTCGCGGACATACACCCGAAGCCGCATCATCAACTTGGTGTACTTGTTATTGCCATTCTTACTGCCACTGTCACCAGCAGCATTCAAACTGGGACGGCGCTTTCCACCCGACTGGACCGCCTCGTTTCGTTGACGAAGGGATGCCAGGAGACTCCCCGAAGACTTGCTACTTGCGCCTCGGACTCCGGCAGTTTCGGCGGCTCCAAACGACGCGCTAGCACGCTTCTTTTCGGGACCGCCACTGCCACCGCCAAAACGAGATTCGGAGCCTCCCGTCCATGTCGGTGTAAATGGATCCTCTTCATCGTTCACACTGGATTGGAGCGCTGCTGCCGCTTCGGCCGCAATGCGCTTGGCCTCTTCCTCCATTTCGCGGACGGATGCAGACTTTTTGCCATTGGAAGATGAGGCATCCACAAAGTTGTGGTCTACCGTGGCGAAACACAAAAGCACATTCTTGTCAGCAACGCAATCGAAGATCCACAATTCGCACCATCAAGCATACCGTACTTACCAAAGACTCCGGCCAACCCCTTGCTTTTCAGCACATTCTTGAGCGTTTCATTGTCACCGCCTTTGGTGGTAGTGGAATCCTCCATATCTTCATTTTTGCTTGCCCTCGCAATGGTTTGGGCAGTTTCGATACTAGTGCCGCCCTCTCGAACCTTGCCATTGTCAGGCTTTAGCGTAAGCAAGTCGTGAAGATCTTTTTGCGAAAACAACCGTTTTTGGCGTGGATCATGAAGAACCTTGTTGGTCAACGCAGTCTTGAAGATTTGACGTTGATAGATCTTCTCTTCAATGGTGCCCGCCGTGCAAAGGCGATACACGGTAACTTGCTTCTCTTGACCAAAACGCCAAGCTCGTTCGCGGGCTTGAGCGTCAGTTTGTGGATTCCAATCTGGATCATACAGGATCAATCTGTTGGCCCCCGTCAGATTCAATCCTACCCCACCGGTTCGAGTGGTACACAGCATACCAAAGTAACTCGTGTCCGAGTTGAACTGGTCCACGAGTTTCTGCCGCGAAGCTACATTCGTTTTGCCATCTAGTCGCAGAAAGTTCCAGCCTTGGGAAACCACCCATGCCTGAATGATGTTTAGCATCTTATTTGCAACACGCAAAAAATTTTAGGGTTGGGGTACAACAAGAATTACACAAATGGCAACGACCAGTTCGACCTACCTTTGTCCACTGGCTAAAGATAAGCACTCTATGACCCTCCTTCTTCCAGAGGGGCAAAATCTTTGAAAGAACCTCGAACTTGCCCGAACGCTCTGCCAGGTCGTCTTCCGATCCTGCGTCTGGGAATGCATCGTGGCCCTCGCTATCATCCTCGTCCTCATCTTCATCACCAATCGCCGCTTCTTCAGGAACACAGCCGTTCCGCAAGAAGGCTTCCAAGGATGCGTCGGAAGGATCTGACAAAACCAAGTCTGGATGGTTGCAGATCTTTCTCAACATGGTGACTGCTGCAAACAAGAGAGAGCTTCCTTTGAAGATTCGCTTGACCATGTCAGATTCCAAGAAGGCCTCGTACATTCTGCGTTGTCGTTTGCTCAACCGACAGAAGAGTACGTGCTCTTCCTTGGAAGGCATTCGACGGACCTCTGCGATCTCGGACTTCTGACGCCTTAACATATATGCATCAATAAGATCTCGAAGAACCAACGAACAACGGTACGCCAGCTGAACTTGGACCGGAGAAGCATTGGAGTAACCACCTCGTTTGATGGGCGCAGCAAACTCTTCCTCAAAAGCAGGCAAAGTCCCCAACCGCCCAGGGAAAACAAAGTCAAACAAGGACCACAACTCTGGAATACCGGTACGAGGACGGAAGCTGGATAAGTGAGAATCGTTAACATGCTACTTCGACCACCGAGCTCATTGCCAACAAAGATACTAGTACCTTTCAAATCGTTTTGAATGGGAGTTCCAGTCATGGCGATGCGATGTGGCGTTCTTAGTCGCTTGCAAGCCAACGTGATATCTGCATGTGGATTTCGGATCTTTTGTGCTTCGTCCATGACAACATAGGACCAAGGATGGTTCACGTATGTCTCCTGATGCCTCCTCACATGTTCGTATGTTGTCACCACCACATATCCAGTGCCACAAAACGAATCTTCAGGCTCATCGTCTTCTTCCCCGTCTGGGTCATCAATCCTTTCATAGAGGCGCTCTCTCCTGGCCTCTTTCAACCAATCGCGCAAGTTGCGGAATATTGCTGGTCCTTGGTTGACTATGTTTCGATTGGTTTCTAGTGTGCCTCCGTTGGAGTTGTCTCCCGACGAATGCAGAAGTACTCGTCGCAATCCAGGGGCCCAAACGGCAAGCTCCGAGAGCCAATGCTGCAGCATGGTTGCCGGTGAGATGACGAGCACACCCTTGAGCATTCGCGAGGAAGCCATGGCTCCCAAGAAGCTGCTGACCTGAACCGTCTTGCCTATAGTATGTGGTAGAAGCTCCAGTCGTCAGGATCAGAATTGTCGTCAAAGGAATCGCTAAGTTTTCCTTGCTTGACGTCCATATGATCCATCAAATTACGTACCAAGTCCCATCTCGTCGCCCATTACCCCGCCTGCTTGTTGTTGATGTAATGTCCACATCCATTCGAGCCCAGTTCTCTGATACGCAAAAAGTCGATTGTTCATCCAAGCAGGTACGCTGAAACCACGATCCAGAGTCCATGCCCCAGGATCCGTTTCTCCCTCGGCCCTCAATTGCGACATGTCTTTCATTTCCGACACTCCATGCAGCCTCCAGTAATCGACTCGGTCTTCGTAGTCATCAAGCCTGTAGTCGTCTCTAGCGGTTGGCTTTTCCAGGGAAGCTTCTTCGTCTAACTCGTCTTCTTCTTCGTCGATCATGTCCCCTTGAGAGTCAACATCTCCTTCAGTGTCATCTTGGTCCTTTTCATCCTCCTCAATATCGGCATCACCTTCAAATTCTGCTTGCTCTTCTACACTGATGGCTGATATTTTGCGCTTGGTTATTTTTGCAGGCTGTAATTCAACTTCTTCTGCTTCTTCGTCTTGCCCCATGACAACGTCGTCGTCGTCATCATCATCGCCCTCTTTGTAACTAATGGGCTTGCTGGCCGAAGCTCTCTGTGGTCGTCGTCGACTAGAACGGCCAGTTGTATTATTGGTTTGACATTGCAGCATGTGTTGCGACAACTCCTCGTCCACGGAACCCGACACATTCCATGTCTTTTGGCACAAAGGACAGGTTGCCGTGGATGCTTGTGCTGACTCATCTTGCGTATTGTTGTTGCTGTCTTCCTCTTCTACTACTACTGTAGCATTAGTAGTCGTGGCCTCGTCATTGTTTGTTGTTGTGTCCTCCCCGTGTGGCTGGTCGTCGTCATTATCGGTTGTTCTTCCCACAGTCTCGTCTGTCATTTCTTTCTCAACTATTTCCTTCCCTTCTGTTTCCATAATCACCACTTCAATCTCTTGATCCTTTTCATTGTCTTCTGTGTCCATGACCACAACCGCCTCGGCCTCTTGCAACTCATTTCCCTCTTCGCTATACGATTTGACGGGGGTTCGGTTGTTTCGTCTGGGTCGGTTAGTGGCATTCATGGCCGAAGAAACAGACTGTTGGCTTTTCCGTCTCTTGGTTCTACTAGTTACAGCAGTCCTTCGTTTCTTTTGTGGCTTTCCCGCCATTAATCGTTTTCGGAGAGTTCCCTTGCCATTGTCTTGTTGTTGTTGCTGGCGTCGGCGGCTGTAGTTCATTTCGGCCAAGACCCCGTTGGCCACCTTGGTGAGTTTTGGCTGCTGGTCATCAGCTTCTTCTTCTTCGTCAGACGACCAATCTTTCCATGCTTTTCTTTGTTTGTTGTTCTTCTTATTGAGTAGTTGTTGTGTCGCCTTGGCCAAACTGGCCGCCCCTGGTATTTGTTTGCGCGCCATCATGGAAATTCTTTTGCGTGGTTGTTGTTGTGGCTGTCGTTCCGCTTGCTGATAGAGTTTCTCCAGCGACTCTTGCTCTTTCCATAGCGCTTGAATGGATGGCTTTTTACTGTGTCGGCCCAACATGCTAAGGAGCATTTGTTGCTTCATGGTCAGCAAGTGGAGCGCATTGGCACTATTTGTACCGTTAGTAGTATTTAGAAGTTGCTGTTTCATTTGCGTCTGCAACTTGGTCAACATGCTGATAACAACCTTTCGATTGGCTTTCGATTGATTGGGAAAGGGCAACAACGACGTACTCGAGATAAAATCGGGAAATCGAAAGGCTTCTTCGCTGTCATCGTCCACGTCCAACGTGGGCGCCAAACTGTGGGTAGCTTGACGCAACACAGTCGACTCGTAGTTGGACGTCTCCGCACGGGTCGTTCCCAAACTAGCCAGGACATTATCTTCTTCGGATACTGCTGCTGATTTCATCTTGTCGTCGTCGTCACTCTTGGTGTTGGAAGACGCCATGGTGTTGGATTGCTTTGGAGATAGTGGTTCGATGTTTCTTTTTGTGGTGCTGAATGCGGTGTCGTGGACGGTGGCCGTGTCGGTGTGGAAGGAAACCTCACGGATTGAAACGTGCCTCGCAGTAGCGGCATTCAATGGCATAAGCAGTGATTGAGACAGCTCTAAATCTAAACTTGAATGTTAAATCTATGCAGCTTCCAACAACCCAATGCTGTTTTAGCAGGTTACGGAAGATATCTACCGGTACCTTGGCTGAGTGTTACACAACATGTATATAGTTGCATGAGGAGACAAAAGCAAGGTACAATTCTACCAGTAGGATTGAAGCAAGGACTCCTCCGAACTTCCTGGGGAGTTTCCATTGGAGTCTTCGGCGCTGTCCGTGCTGCTATCAATGGGAGAAATGAAGGGAGAAATGAAGAGTTGGCTGCTCTTTTTCTTCTTTTTCTTCTCCGCAATTTCAGGTTTGGGTTTGGCTGTTTCAGCACTGGGCATCATGGACACACTTTCAACTGTAGCAGTCTCTTTTACTGGCTGAATCACTTTAGATACATCTTCCAGTGGTGCCACAGCAACAGAGACCTCGTCATGATGCTGCACAGAAGAATCACCGCCATCTGCCATTGGTACCACCAAAGCAGAGACAGCAGGATCCAGTCGATGCAATGTGCTCCCCTTCTTCTTCTTGCGACGCAAGCTCTTGGCAGCTTCCCATTGCTTTGCATATCGGGAGGTTGGTGAAAGCGCTTCTGTCTTTGGAGATGAAGACAATGGTGATGATACCCAAGACGGTGACGATGGTCCCACTTTTGGCGGTGACATGGAGACGTCACTCTTTGCTTCCTTATTATCCAAGTTTGTAGACCAGGTTGTTTGAGGTTGAGGAGAAGCCCTCCCGACAGTGCTTCCACCAGCAGCCGCGAGACTGGCCAATGATGGGACTCCATGAGCATTGACCGCGTGGGTAAGATTGGGCTGCACCTCGGTGGGCTTAGCTGCCGTTGCCTTGGGTTCCTTGTGATCGATGGGGGTCAGCCCCACATCACATACGGTCCACAAATTCACTTCTGTTACATGACTGTTTGCAACCTTCGTGTCTTTGGGAGAGGAGGAATGAGCAGCCTTCGACGGCGTGGACGTCTCTTGAGTTCCAGGCAGCAGCGTTACGGATGAGCGTCCTGTGCTTGATTGTATACCGGTCGGGCCATCCTCGAAACTCGCTTCTACAGCACGCCCCTGGTGGTGTGCGGTGGTGCGCATGGCTTGAGCATTGTTGTTGCTTCCTGTACGAAGAGCAGCATGTATGGCAGCATTGCTCCCTCGCAATGACGACGCTCGGGGAGATTCCCTGGGGCTCTTCACCCAAGCAGTGGTTCGGGAACGAGTGGCGCTTGGGCTCTTCTTCACTACCCTCGCAGCTGCAGTGGATGTTTGACCCGGCGCCATCATCCTGCGGTCACTACTGCGAGGATCGGAGACTTGTTGTTGATAGCTTTTGTCCAGGTCTCTCACGATCGGACTCAAACTGGCCAAAGCTCGGAGTTTGGCAGCATGGGTCTCATCGTCACACTGGAGTAGTTCGGATCGTAGCTGCGGAGAACGCTGCTGCAGATCCAGCACATCATAGTCATTGGCATGCACCTTTTTCCAGACACGTCGAAACAACCACACAAAGGCCACAATGAGAACCAATCCCACGCTCAATATACCGTACAAGACAGCATTGAGCAACCGCTCTTCCCGTTGGCCCCTACTTCGCAATTCTTGGAGTAGCATCAAGTCATGGTGATATCGTGCAGAGTGATGATCGCTGCTTGCGCCATAGATACCGGTAGGCACGGATGTTGGAAAACTATGCTGTTCTGCCTGCGGGACCGACGGCGGCATGAATTGTTGCGTCTCGTCATCGCCCGTCCAATGCCGCTCATCGGTACTCGTTGGAATGTGCGTGTTTTCTTGCCCGTTGTCAGCATCCGGAGTAGCTTGAACGGATGCTGTTCCATTATGTTGCTGTTTCAAATAGAGCTTTCTGGTTGGGAATGGATGTGACATGGACGTGTCATTGCCGTTCGTGTGTCCCGCGACCGACGACGAGTTTTGCATCAAATCCTCTTCTTGCCAGTGGTTGCCAATCTCATGAGCGCACGTCATGCCTTGATGCGGGTAATCAATCACAGGAGAGGCAGTTCCTTGATCCCAAGGCCACACAAGACTCTGCTCGTTATTATTATTGGTGACGTCTTGCGGATGATTGTGCTGCTCTTCAAACAAACGTCGTGCTTCCGAAACATCAAAATGGACTGCCAACTCGGCCGTGGCAGTAGACGCGTCTTCCTCCTCTGGACTCGCGTGGCTTGTCTTGCCATCATCATCTTTCGCAGGAGGCACAAAAACGTAGTGCTCATTGTCGCCTGGTGGAGCAAAGGAAAAGGAAAATGTAGAGGGAGCGGCCTCGATAGGCAGAAGCAGCGCGTCTTGTTGTTGTTGTGAATTGTTTGATGACTCTACCAAATTTGGCAAGTGACAAGATGTCAAACTCAACAAGAAGTTTTCGGACTCGTTCGGCAAATCCTCGAACAGTAGCACATTTTCCAAGCCGCAAGGCTGGAATGTCACTTGATGGACTTGGGTCACTGTCTCTTGCGTGGGAGTGGCCGTTTGGCGACGCTCTCGAAATGATGTACGCTTCTTGTTGTTGCTGTTGTTGCTCTCCGGGGTGGAGGATGGCAGCTCTGGTAGGAGCACCAAGTCACACACAATGGGAGCCGAATTTTGAAAGCCTTGCCACAAACCAATGACGCCGGAGGAATGCTGCTCCTCGCGACGACCCGTTACAGTAGTGTCGCTGTCGCTCGAATCATCACTGCAGGTGGATTTCAACACTAGAATAGATCGAAGCGTCATCTTGATGGGTGCTACTCGAACAATGCGCTGCTTTTACTTGAAGGAGGTCTCAAGAAGTCCTCTTTCACATTTCAAAAAGTAAGTTTTCGAAATCGCGGCGAATGATGAATAAAATATTATTGCAGTAACTTAGCGGTAGAGGGGAGGGGGGGTACCGTACATACACTGTACCAGGTGCCGGTATCTAGACTTCTAAAGTTAGACTACTAGCTACTAGCTAGTAGGAGCAATAGCAAAAAAAGCCAGCTTATGGATTGCACCAGCAGGATCCACAGACATAATTGAGTGGCCTATGCTGCTAGCTACCAGGGTGCTGATGCCGTCCTAGTCTACCGGTAGTAGCAGATTCAGGTTGTCACTTGATTGAACAGCCACAGCTGCTCCAACTCATCTTGAGTATGTCATACCGGTATTTTCCCCAAGAAGCATAATATGATCTCTGTGATCTACATACTTTGGACTGAGGGCCAGCGCTAATAAGGCTTAGTATCTGCAGCTAAGGGACGGCGCTACCCATATGTGTGTGGTCACTTGGGTACTAAACTTGACAAGCTTCCCAGCTACCATACCCGTATGATCTTTGGTCCCTTCTTCTGTGGCCAATCCAGGTGGCTCAGTCCATCCACGCCCTGACATTGCTGGGTACCAGGTAGTATTGGAGTGACTCAGTCAGTCTCCAAAGAAAGAGAGAGAGTTCGAGAGAGAGAGAGAGAGAGAGAGCGTACCGTACCAGTGCCAGTTGCTTGCTACCTTGCTTGTCTCAACAAAGACCGAGTAAGCGAGGCAGGAAGAAAGAGCGAATTCACCAGCTGGAGACATGTTGTGAGCACCTCTGCAGAGTCACATCCTTCTGCAAGATACCGATACTTCAGGTGAATCGAATCAACGTCGTCACCGCAACCCTCGTTGTCATTCATCCCGCACCATCCCACCAAACAAAAACGGTACCGTAAAGTAGTCTACTAGTAGCTAGTAGCACCACCAGGCCGTAGACGAAAGATCTTGGGGTCACACAACGGTCACACGCACCCAACACGAGATGTGAGTATCATCTCATCGCCGTGCTGAGATCTAAATGGATTGTCTTTCGTTTACCGATGTACCGTTGGAACGTATGGTACTTAGCATCGATTGGACTGTCTTGACGCAGGTCGTGTTCTCTTTTAAGGCTAAGTACAGCTTAACACTGATATCCACATTATCTCTCTTATGCTTCCAGCAAAGGGTAGCTTTTAGGCTGGAGGGTACCAATTCTTTGGGAATGAGTCACCGAGGAGCGGGGCGTCAATGGGAAGCTGGAACGTTGACATGTGGGAATTCTATCGCCACAATTTTGCTAAAACCACAAAAGAAACTGTCAAGTTGTTGCTTGGCTTGGTTGATTGGAGTCTGCCAACCTGCAAGTTCCTCTATCTGCCACTGGCAAGCTAGCTGCGTGCTGTGCGGTCAAGTGCCAAGATAATACTGCTATCGAACTGAACCAAGTTGATACCATCTATCTCGTCCATCTTTCTGTGTGTGTGCGTGTCCGCTCATTCTGGTCCATGATTGATCGACGGTAATACATAGCATGGACCTGAAGAATTTATTAGTATGGTGGATTCACTTTCTCCTCGGCTTTTTCGGGTGGATCACCGGATGGGAGACGTTTCCAGAGGAGATTGGATTTGGGAACAAGGATCCGTTCAATGTTTCGGGTGGATTCTGTGAGAATGTAAGAGATTCCATGGCACGGTTATCACCCAAAGGTAGCTTTGATGGTCAGATCCTCATCCCCTCGGATGGTCATGAGTTTGGCAAGGCGCGAGAGCAGTACGCATCAGTGACGTTTGCTCAGGAGCTCAGCCCGAGTGTCATTGCTCTTGTTCAGTCAGAGGGTGATGTACAAGCAGCAGTAAGATTTGCCACAAAGTGCAACTTCAGCGTGAGCATCCGATCTGGTGGACACTCTTATCTTGGCACATCATCTTGTGACTCTGGTAAAGGAGCCTGCATTCAAATCGACGTAACAGGGATCAATCATCAAGTTCTTCTGCCAGGTCAAGTCAAGTTGGGACCTGGTAATCGGCTCAAGGCTGCGTCAGAATTCCTCAAACAAAATGGAAGATTCTTGCCTACTGGAGAGTGCCCAGGGGTTGCGTTGGGTGGTCATATGCAAACAGGAGGAGTTGGCTTGTTCACAAGGCATTTTGGACCTTTTGTCAATCGAGTCGAGTCCTTTAGGATTGTGCTGGCCGATGGAGCTTTGCACAACATTGTGACACCAACCGATGAAACAACTCAGCTCAACGACGATATCTTTTATGCCGTCCTTGGAGGTGCTTCTGGATCATGGGGCGTGGTGACTGAGATGACTTTGAACACCATCAATGATGCAGACTACTTTTCTGTGTACTGGAAACTGGCCTATTGGTGGGATACTGATGAAGATACTGACGGCATTTCCAATATGATGCGGACTTGGGCCAAGTTGGCCCACGAAAGACAGCATGACTGGCGATGGTCGTCACATTGGAGTGTTGTGGGTGCCAAGAACGTACCAGGCCTGGGGAATCGAATCCAGATGGAAGGCTCCTGGGTTGTACCAATAGAACAAAAAGATGACTATGATTTTGACTTCTTTCAGGCCATTGATGATGCATGTATCAATTGCAATCGGTTCCGCTATATCAACGTAACAGAGCCATTGTCCCAGATTTGGCGTCATCGATATTTGAGAACTCTCATCAACAAGGGTACAGGGCGTGAATTTCCCGTACCATACACGCGATCAATGCAGCAAACAGAATCCTTCCCGGACCCAGATGGGATGGAAGGCATCACAAGAGCCATTGGCAAACTGTTGCCTTCTCGGTTCAGCCCCCATTTCATCATCAGCCAACTCGTTACATTGCGCGGAGCAGAGCCAAATCGTGCATTGCCGTGGCCAAAAGATCTACTGGGAATCACGCTGGATTACTTTTACGTCCCGCCGAGTGATTGGGTAGTCGACCACAACCAAAGAGCACTGGACTTTGGAAAGGAGCTAAGAGATCATCTACACGATCAAGACCATCGAATGTACTGGGCTGCTTATGATTCACCTTCCCTGGACAGAGACTGGCCCAAGTATTTCGAGAGTGAAGACAAGTACAGGCGGCTGCAGGTTATCAAGGGACGCTATGATCCTCAAAATGTGTTTCAAAACGAAATGTCAATACCTCTACCGAAACGAAAAGAGATTGGAGAGTTGGCTGGTAATCAGACAAACACAGCAACGGAAAGGAGAAATCGAGAACAGGTGCCCGGATCGGAGCACCTGCAACAACAACGACGACGGTCAACGTCAAGTGATTCACAAGAGTGTTTGCTGCATTCGCCACCAGGAGCGTGCCTCGTCAACGAGGAAGCACTGATGTCGTAAGCGCCGCTCATTCCTTCTTTCTATTTCCATTGGGGGAGCACACGTTACCTAAGCGTGCATTTTTCTTCTCGTCGGTCCACTTCATATCATAGACTTGGTCAAGATAGACGCGTTGGGCTATAACCTGTTCATAAACATATTATTTCTATGAAAACCTATCTAGTGTGTTGTCTTCATACAGTTTCTAAAGTAGCCGATGTTAAGCAGTTCAGGATTTGCGGCGTGGGTGAACAATATGTATGGTGGGTGGTGTCTGTCGATCCTCCTCTTACCCACACTGACGAACGACGCGGTGCGGTTCGACAATCAGAATACGGTAGCACTTGATAGCTGATGGATGCGGACACATGTATCATAACGTATTACAGTACCTGGTACGTGGTACGGTGCCGGCACCCTCCCGAGTATGGACAACGAGAAGGAAGACGAGGAGAAGAAGGAAGACGAAGACGAGAAGGAAGACGAGGAGAAGAAGGAAATGGCCGAGGACGAGAAGATGATCGACCGCTTGGGACGAAATTGGTTCACTTCGGATGGTTTGCGCCATCTCATCGAAGGCTACCACGGGCCCGGAGGAGAAACCATCCTGGGGATCAAAGCACACCATCCCTACAACTACTTGTGCCTTCCAAAAAACCATGCGCCGTTTTTTGACCACATGCAAAAAGGAAAACTGTAGTCATTTTGCCCAATCTGGAATGACGAATTGAAGACATGGAAGGAAGGAATGTCATTTTCAGTCATGGTAGTAGCAAACAAAGCCGCTGTTTACCACTGGCTAGGGTTGACTTCTACGGACAAGCCAGTTTGGATTGGAGAATGCAGCAACGATGAGGTCGAGCGCGGTACAAAAATGCTGGCATTGATGATGAAAGCCCTTGCCGAGCAGCTCGCCAGTGAATCGACTGGCAGGCTCTTCCAACACTTGAACGAAGTGGAAAAGGAGACACTCCGGGGATGGTTTGACAGCAGCGATGGCGCGGCTTCAGTCTCAGTCTCAACAACTTTGGACTCCCAGTCGAAGGACTCATTGGAGAAGCAGAAGTACATGCAGAAAAGCAAAGCAAAAAGCAGAGGAGAAAGTCGATGACTTCAAGGCGAAACTTCGCAACCTCGTAGACGTCCGTGAAGGTCTGTTGCAATTACGAAAGGTAACGGTGCCGCGTGTTCGTACAGACATCCAAGGATGCAAAGTGCTGAAAGGTGGACCTTGGAGTCTACTACAAAAATAAAGAAACTTCCATCCCGGACCCCATGTTGCTGCTCCTTCGAGCCGCCATCAACTGCTCTGCGCTCTTCGGCCAGAAATTGCTACCTGCTTGCCAGGCTTTCGATGATTCACGGGATAGCGACGAAAGAAGAACATCAGGGGGAGGAGGACCACGAGTTGCAGCGCACGATCGCCGAGATTAGCATTCCTGCTGAAAGAGACGACGATGAAATCTCGGTTCTTAGCGCACCCCGGACTCCCCTCGACAGCCGCGACGCGTCTGATTCTGATGAGCCGCCGACAATTGTGACACCGTAGAAGTTCACAAAGAGATGAAGCTGCGAGCGATGATCTCAGTAGCGTGAAGCACCTCAAGCCCGCGATGAAAGATGCTTGCAAGGATGATTCGTCCGTGTAATTTTGTTTTCCTTTGTTTGGTTCTTTCTTGCCGAGTGAATGGGTTATCTGGCTTGCTAGCTAGCTACGGTACTGGAAAAAATATAACGCTGTAACGTAACACGAGATGGATCCTCTGTTCGTCATAGTCTGAGGAGGTTCGGTAGCAAAGAAACTCATGAAAGGCAAAGTGTCACTGAAAGCAAGCTATCTACTGTAGATCCGATAGCTGCCTGTTCAGCGTACCAGTTCGATTATTACACTCAACTCTTGCGCGGAGACTGTAGCCCGCTTGAAAGAGACGATGGTGTCCATGTTGCAAGCTGACAGCTTCAACAAGCCAGCATGTTGCTCGGGCTTCACGGCGGTACTCGCAACACATGGGTGAATATGCACTGAGTGAGCACCTCTGCTGCCTACAGAACCGTACATACGGTATTCCACCAAGGCCTACTAGAAGGGCACGGCCAGGTTCTGCCAGTACCAACGAGATAAATTATGAAGAGATAATTTTGACCCCCCTTTACTTCGCCCACACCAAATTCTTGTCTCATCGTTGACATTTTTGCAGCGTATAGCATCTGTAACAGCTACAGTACTACCGGCCAGGACGAATGCTCTGTGGATCTCACTTCATGCTCCAACTCGACAATGGGTTTGCCGGTTTCGAGGTCGACAATGTTCTTGAATCGAAACTGATTCCATTGTTGAGCAGCCGTGAGTGTGTCGACCTTGTCTTCAAAGCGCGGGTTAATCCAGACGACACCTGCCATTTCGGCATTCCGGTAGGCTTGATTAAAGTCCGCCTTGACTTGACCCACGTAGAGGGCAATATGATGCTGTTGCTTTTGGGTGCTTGTTGTTGTCGTCGTCGTCGTACCAGTAGTATCGTCTGGTTGTTGTTGTGGTTGTTCTTTAAAGAGCAAGTATTGATCGGCGCGGCCATTGGTCCGTATATTGCCCAGAGCAATCATGGCGATTTTGGTATTGTCGGGCAAGGGAATAACGTTGGTGTTCGCGTCGAATACAGACTCGTAAAACTGCGCAATCGATTCGGCCGTCTCCGTAGGGCAAGCAATTTCGAGATAATCAATCCCTCGACAATCGCTCTTTTCTCGTCCATATCGTTGTGCCAAATCAGTCCACTCCTCTGCTTCGTCGTCACTACTTATTCCGAGAATGGGCTGATTGCTGGCAATGGGTGAAGACGGGATCGGAGAAGGAAGGGCTCGACAGACAAACTCATTGTTGTATCGATCGACAATTGTGATTTGAGGATTGCCCTGCGAGTCCTGCTGATCGAGCTGGAAACTCTGAAAGCATCTCGTGGTTTCTTCCTTCTTTTCTTGGCGATGCTCTTGCAGACGCTGCTGCAATCCATCCAGACTGTCATAGCGCAACCCAATACGTCCTGGAAGACCGGGCGATGTTTCGGGGCTGTAACATAGGTGAAACTGAGAGGCTCCACAGTTGGCCCAAATAGTAGATTCTTTCGCTGGATGATTGACAAAATTGTGAGCCATGCGAGGATCCACGCCACAACCCAGAATGTCATAGTAAAAGGGAACCGCGTATTCATGGCTGGGAATATCGATATTGACATGTTCTAGGAGAGATAGAGTCGAACGATCCGCAATAGTGTCCGACGACGACAGCGCTGCAGACATGAGGCGACTTTTTGTTGTGCTCGAAAAAGTAGCAATCTGTGGATTCTGCAGCGCCGAGACGCAAGACAAACAGATCCACAGAATTAGTATCACCAACGCAGATGGCATGTTCGATACTCGTAGGCGGCATGGTGGACGATGTAGTGCCATGGTGCTACAAAAATATACTACCATAGCTGGTAAGAGAGAAGATTGAAGAGCCATCAGTGATGGGTGGAACGCAGCAGTCATGGTCGGCTACCGGTACTGCGGTACTGTGCATGTGGCTGGGTGGGTCCATCGATCAGAGACTAAAGATACTTTCATTCGTGGATACTTTTCTACCACGAGCTGTCCACCGCTCATCTCGAAAGAGACAACAGCGTACTGAAGGCCTCCAGTAAGATACTTTTCTACCACTGTTGTGGCTGCCGGCAGCTCAACTTGAAAAAGCCAACAGGGAGTACGAGTGTATTGGAACATTGGAACCCTCCAGAAGGACCCACAGCCAGCAGACGAGTTCGAAACGCCCTCTCAGCTTGCTACCGGTACCGGTAGCTGGTTCGTAGTTGAGGGCAACTTTACTGATAAAGATGGAATCAATGGACATAGACACTTACAAAGATGAGGATGAAGAAGAACCCAATGATAATCATGACATTAACATGGTAGAATCCAAGCAAGAAGCCATGATCCTTCGGGTCTGCGGGATCCCATTTCGCAAGGTTGCGTTTGTGTGTCTTTTACTAGTCATTGTTCTGGTTTTGCTATTGCTGGTCACTTTACAAATCCAAAAACCTGATACTAGTAGTACTACTTCAACGACACCAACAACAACAGACACCCCACACACTACTAGTACAAGTACTCATGTTCCTGCTACCCCTGGTCCAGCCAGTGCTGCTACCCCAGTCCCTGTTACCCCTGCTCCTACATCTGCCACCCCTGCCACAACCACAACAAGTTCATCCTCATCCTCTGGAACCACAGTGGAGATTTTGGGTACAAGCTATGAGATTGCCACCACCTTGGTCATTCGTGGAGGCTACACGGGCCAAAGCACATCGATTCCAACCCAAATTGGATTGCTCACTGCACTGACAGAACTAAAATTGGCAGACATTGAAATGGTGGGACCCATTCCATCCCAAATTGGTTTGTTGACACAGTTGATTTCGTTGGAAATGTATAAAAACCAATTATCTGGAAGCATTCCTACCGAAATTGGATCCTTGACTACCATCAAAACCTTGATCTTAAACAACAACCAAATATCCAAGTCCATCCCATCCCAAATTGGATTGCTGACAGAAATGAAAAAACTTAACATTGGTCACAACCAGTTATCCAACCACCTCCCTACGGAAATTGGATTACTCACCAACTTGAGAGAATTGTATTTGAGCACGAATCACCTATCCAGCAGCCTTCCCTCCTCGGTGATTGGATCCCTCACTTCCATTCATCGCATCTTCTTGGATGAAAACCAATTTTCCGGCAGTATTCCTTCGGAGATTGGATTGCTGACACATGTGTCGGATTTACACTTGGAATACAACAAATTGACCAATAGTATTCCTTCGGAGATTGGAGCATTGGTCCATTTGAATGCGTTGAGCTTGCATAAAAACACACTCACAAACAGCATTCCCTCGGAAATTGGATTGTTAAAACAAGCCAAAATTGTGAACCTGCAAGACAACCAGTTATCCAACCGTGTGCCTTCCGAGATTGGACTGATTACCACAGTTGAAGCGTTGGTTTTGTACCACAACAAGCTTTCAGGCAGTGTACCCAGTGATTTTTGTTCCAACAATCCACGGCTCAGCAAAGTTCTAGTTGATTGTGATCCAGCTCCATTTCCTGTGGAATGCACTTGCGACAAATGTCACTGTGCATAGAACATGCAAGAATGCAAGACTTTTTCTTCTTATTCTGCTCGAAACCACGCTTTTCCCATGTTGTGGCGAGCGCTAGGTTTGGAGGTTGAATAACATACGGTACATAAGATGCTTGTTGTACTACAACGTGCAACAGCCATTATTTGCACGTTGTCAAACCAATCAGTATTCTAGTCCTTTCCACGGTCCTTGGGCAACACGAGCAAGCTCCACAGCGCAGCGTGGGGATTGATTTGCTACCGTAAGGTTAGAGCTCTAGTTGAATCTTAGTGTTCAGGTTCAGTTTGATTGCCTCGCGACGTGGCGTGACAAGTGATGTCATCCAAATCGTTTTCGGTGTCAGTCCCTTTCGAGACTCGCTCAAAAAGTTTAGCTGAACTTCAATTTCTTCCTCAACATCCCCCTCCAATCTCCCATGCTACTGCCACCTCTGTGGCAAACGTCGTTTTCTTGATTGACGCGCCTTCACCCAATTAGGCCACATCCTTAGTTGTGGTACCAAGCCCACTCATCTTTCTCACCGAAAACGAAGCTAGCAGTAGTACGCTAGCCTCCACTACGGTACCAAGACGGGGTTGACATCTCGTTTGCATCGTTGTGTCTGCCGCCAAGGTAGCAATTCTCCTTTGCTTGTTCCGAGTCCCTGATCTCCCCAACCAATTCTCTCCATCCTCGAATGCATTGGCCAAGTCAAGAACCCTTGTGATTGCTGTTGGTTTCCAGAGCTTGGTTGGCGTCAGAAGCTATAGAGTTGCTATTGGTTTGATTGCAATCTTAGTTACTGATTGAATCGAATCGACACCTGGCGGTTCTCAACCAACCAAAAAAGGCTATACAGCAATATCCCTACTGTGCTACGCTCCAAGCATTATCACAACACAACATCATGAAGACGAGATCATCAAGATTCTTTATAATACTCCTTCATCTTTTGGGGGTATCCAATCACCATCTACCCTCTTGGTATTATGATTATCTAACCAACACATCCGCCTCAGAGCGATCATCCTTCTACAGTGGGATCAGGGGTGTCCATCCACACTCGATAACTCTGGAACGGTTAGACTTGAGAGAAGTTGGAGGCTTGGATGGAGTGGACTGGTTGGGAGACCACAGAGGAGATCAGGAGCAACAACAATCGTTATCACAATCGAGTGATTCGGCAGCAGCAGCGACGACAACGACAACACAGGAGACCAGAGAGCCCTTTTGGTTACAGGATAGTCGGGATGGAAAGTGTTTGGGGCCTAGTGGGGGCTTTTCGGAGTGTGGAGATGCAACACTCTGGTTCATTCTCAGGAGAGGGACACAACGCAAGTCTCTGAGAATGGGGCCATTTGGGGTGGAAGAAGTCTTGGAGAGAGCTGATCCGGAGGAACCATACCGCTACGCTCTGCAAATAGTCGACAACGACTATGATGGGGCATCTACAATATCAGTAGAAACATCGGCATCAATGACTTCTTCCCGCTTCTTTTCGTGGAGACATCAAAGGCAACGACGCCAGCAGAAAGACTGCCTGGTGCCCGCGCCCAAGTCTAGACGACGACACGGGGCACTCGAGCTTGGCTCTTGTGGCAAGCAAAAAACGGCATGGTCGTGGCGAGTGGATCCCCAAGGATTCCTCTATCTGCCGAACGATGTGAGCCACACCAACGGACGGGAATGTCTACGGCGAAGTAGTACTGGATCCTCTGCTGTGTTGTCTGCTTGTCAAGACAATGGCAGTGAGGCGGACTCGCAGCACCACGAACAGCAACGCCTGGTACAGTTCTCCTTAGTACGGTACCATGCCACGGCAAATCCATCAGTCGCCCCCTCCAACAACAACAAAGTTCGACCAGAGCAGAAGAAGGAAAAGCAAGCTGAAACGTCAAATCGTCCTTCCAAGCCGAGGGAAGGCCTGCCCAGCACAAAGGACAAGGCTCACTCACATGCGTCAGATCCCGTTGCTCACTCTCCCATCTTTGAAATGAATCTCGCTGGAAGGCCGTTGAGGTCAGCCATTCCAACGCCTCAAGATCGAAAGGACGCTCAATCGCAACCCTTTGCGGCACTGAAGGATACCAACCCCATCCTCTTTGTCGGGAAAACCCAGCCAGAGCAGAGCAATCCATCCAAGGAGGCTGCTTCTTCAGACCCAAGGGCGACGACACCACCACCGCAACCATCTGTTTCATCTCTGGGGAAACTGCGCAAAATTGAAATGAACCCGTACATTGCGGCTTCCCAAGATGAAATCTGGGTTGACCCACTCACCGGGCTGCAGTATCCTACGGATCTTTGTAAGTATTTGGGGCATGATCGAAGAGAGTCGGGCAGGCATACGCTTGTGGGGGTTGGCCAATTTATGAAGACAATGTTGAAGATTAAGGTAAGAATGCTCTTGTTGAACCATTTTTAATCCTGGTATTTTTTGAATTTGTTGTGCTGACACAAAATTACATTTGCTTGTTTTGTCAGGTCTATGGCATTGCTCTTTACGTTTCCAAACGAGACGTTTTGGCTGACCCTGCATTTCAGCAGTATGCAGGTCTGAGCTCAGAAGATCTTCGTAAGCGCCCTGATTTCTACGAAAAGCTACGTTCAGCTGGAGGCTTTGATCGAACACTAGTGTTGAAGACCAACATGCAACTCGCTACTGAAACGATGCGTTCTAGTTTGGATTCTGATTGGAAGATGCTCTCGGAAGAAGCCAAAGCTTTGTTGATTGACACCAGTATGAGGCCAAGACCAGCCGAGCAACAAATGCTCGAACAGATCCAGCGAGCGGACAACCCTAGTCGATGTTCCTGTGCGCAATCTGCACCGGAGGAGTACCAGGCTGACCCTACGTGCTGTGCTCGTGGCATTGAACTTGTCTTTACGTGGAGGAAGAATGGTGATTTGGAGGTAAGGAAAATATGCTTGCATTACTTCCATGCAATAGTGTCACTTTCTTGTGCTCTTTTCGCCCAAAATTTTGTCGCGTTTCCTGGTGCTCACATGATGCGTTTCCTGAACAGGTTCGGTTGAATGGCCGGTTAATGGATTCATTCCCGAGACCTGATATCGGCAACGGTATCTTCTTCGAGTACCTGAGAACTGATGATCCTTTCTCTCCTGATTTTCTGGAACGAGCTGTCGACGGTTTTCCATTTTTATTGGCTCCTCTGGCTCAAATTCAGGGGATTACATCGTCCGTGCTGCAAGCTGCAGCCCCGGAACCGGAACCGGCCAAAGAACCTGCCCATGCGTTCATCATCAAGACTGTGGGCGGCGCCGCAGAGGCATTTACGTCTCATGCAGCCAACTTGGCCGCGGCAATGCAGCAAGGAGCGTCGGATACAGCTGCAAATGCCGCAAACACTGTCCATTCCGCTGGTGACGCAATGCGTCAATTTGGAGAAGAGGCAGAGAGAAAACGAGTAGCAGCCTGGAATCAAATGGTTGCCATTTCGCAGCAGCACCCCGCAGACGTTTTTGCGCAGATGGTGGCACGAGCCAAGGGGGAGAAGCGCACCGAGCCCGTTATCCCAGTGGAAGAACCAGAGGAGATTGTCCTTCGGAGCAACGCACCTCACGGGAAGATCTTTCGACAGACAACGTCCAAGTGGTTTGGCGAGACCATGGATGCCCCCGATGAAATTGGCCCAATGATCCACCCCACAATGAACAAGACGATCTTGTCATTGGTTCATTTTTACCTGCTGCTCATCCTCATCGTGAGTTTCCCACCCACCAATGCCAGCAAGACGAGATTTGTTGTGCGACGAAGTTGCAAGATGATTCCCGTCTCTTCGAGTGAGTTATCTCTGGGTGGGTTGGATCTTGATTCATCCGAGAAGGAAACGATAGTTCCCAGGAGAGAGCAGTATCGACCAGTGCAAGCCGAGTACGTGAACCCCAGAGGGAGCGGCAAAAAGGTTGCCCCAGAACCGCCCGGCAGCGACGACGAGTGCTGCTTGTACCCTGGGTACGACAGCGATCCTGCAAGCGAGGGATTTAGTCCCCAGAGAATACACATTGATCTGAGCTCTCAGGACGGGAGAGAATCCACGACGACACCAGCATCCAAGAAGAAGCCAAGCAGCGTCAAGCGATTCTTTCAACGACCTCCTCGAAGCACGCCGAAAGCCACTCGCCGATCTCAAAGCCTGGACTGTCCCGAAAGTGAGCGAAGTAGTGCTTCGGACGGCTCTGGTAGTGGAAATACCAAGAAATCTTGGAGAAGAAAAAGCGGAGAAGGTAAACCCCCCATACCCGCAGTGAAGAAAGGGTCTGCCAACGACAAGGTGAAGAAGAACCTGAGTTACTTTTTGTGAATATATTATGAAGACAGACTGAACGAAACAAACAAACAAACAAACAATTGTGTTGATAGATGAAACCCACATACACACGCAACCGAACAAAGCAAGCAAAGGAAAGAATCAAGGGAGAATTACTAGAGGGTTCCCCAAGCTATACCTGGAGCCACCCCTTGACTCTTTCTTCCATACCAAAGTAGAATAACGCTATCATACTACATACATGTAGAGTACAGACCCTTTCTATGCTACAATATGTAATTTCTTGGAATCTTTTTTGTGGCAAAAGCTTGTGTCTTCCAACAGTTCCTTGCTTTGTCTTGGCAAGAACTAGACTAGCTAGCTACAGTGGCGCTAGCTATGTCATAGCTGGAGCCACCATGATGTACCGGTACAAAAGCCAACTGACTGGATTGAAGAAGCGGGGTCCAGCTCCTTCCCACCCAAACACGCATGGTGCCTCAATGATGCAGTGTGGACCGTTGGGTTGGTTGTTGTGGGAGTCTTGTGTCAGTCCAAAGTTGAGTCTCGAATGATGGTCGATGCCTCCATCCAATGACCCGTTGCCTCGCCAGACGAGATTGTAAAGGCGGTGAGCATGCATAAACCCATGTTAAACTGTATTCATTTGATTTCATCTTAGACTTTGGTCCAGAAGATATTCTTCTAAAAAGTGTTCTAGAACGGTTGGCTGACGGCCGGGCTGGCAGGAGGCATAGCCGAAGAGCCAACAGCCGCAGCAAAAGAAGAGGACTTTATGCCTCTCCTCATCGATTGGATGCTGCTCTTTCCTCTTGCATGCGCCAACCAAGTCTCATCACTGCAAGCTCTCCATCGTCAGTTCCCCATACCTGTTGTAGTAGATCAGTCATTTAGTCTCGGAGCTTTGAGTACAGTAGTAGTGTGTTTGTTGACCGCTGTATCCAGTTTTGGCGGGCTGCAGTAAAAGTACGAGCGCTGCAGCGTTGGAGGATCTGAAACCGTGCCGTCAACGGGGCATTCTGCTATTGTGCTTCATCGATTGAGTGAGTGACAATCGAGTGTGCCTCACATCCCTCAAGAAGTCCCCATCGGCCCCAAGACGACGCAACAATAAGAGCCCTGGTCCTACATCAGCACCATGATGAATACTTTTACACACACGCCTACTCCGAGCCTCACCATGGCTCGGTCGCTGCCACAAGGAGTGGACGAGCTGAATCAAATGGGTCCCTTTGATCTGTTTCGCAGCCAAATGGAAGCTGGATCCGCGGAAGCCAAGGTGGACGCCATGAAGCGCTTGGGCGTGGTCGCTTGTGCCATGGGATCCGATGCTACACTGCAAAGTTTGGTGCCCTACTTGTCCAATGTGGCCATGAAGCAGCCTCCGCATGAAGATGAGCTTCTTCTGATCCTCTCGAGTGAACTGAAAGGATTGGTGCCCAACCTCATCAACAACGCTCTCCCATTACTTCCCATCTTTGAACGACTAGCAGCTGTAGAAGAGACCGTTGTCAGAGACGAAGCCGTCAAAGGATTGAATCACGTCATGGATTACATAAAAGAAACAAACCTCATGGTCGCAATGGCCAAACGGCTTGTCGGAGCAGATTGGTTCACACCCAAAGTATCGGCCGCCGGAGTCATGGCCAAAATCTACCAAAGGGCACAGGATTCCGAGTTGCTCAGTCTGTACAAGGAACTCTCCACCGATGATACACCCATGGTCCGACGTGGCGCCGCCAAAAGCTTGGGACAATTCCTGGAGCAAGTGGGGTATGAAAAGGGAAAGGATTTCCTTCCCGTCATGCAGCAACTGTGTCGAGATGAACAGGATTCCGTTCGATTGCTCGCTTCTGCAGCCTTGGCCAATGTAGGAGAATCCTTTGGAAAGCATCCAGAGTGGACCGCACAGAACTACTTGCCAATTTTGAAAGATGGATCCACCGATATGAGTTGGTACGTTGCACGACATGACGGAAGCACTGTTTGGATTGATCAGGGGAATGACAGAGGACTGGAGTTATTCGGGTCTTTGCTCTGATCTGCTCTCTTTTTGTCTCAACCTTGCTCTGTTTCTCCATGTCTCCCCTCGATATCCTTGTCGTTCTGTGTTTTGTGCAGGAGAGTTCGTCACAATGTCGCAAAAACATTCTCCGAGTCAGCTACCAATCTTGGAATACAAGGCAATCCACGATTTGTAAATGAACAAACTATGGTCATGGCCTGCTTTGTACTCCTCCTGACGGATGCCGAAGCAGAAGTGCGGGCCGCGGCCGTCGGACACTTTGCTAGGATGGTCCACTGGGGTGGCTCTGGACTCTTCTCGACTCATTTGCAACCGTTACTGCCCGCACTCGCGGATGATGTCGTCATGGAGGTTCGCTCCAAATGTGCCATGGCCTTGATGGATTCCTCGCAAGGAGGAACCTTGGAGGATGCCCTCATTCTACAGGCCTTTGGACCCCTCGTAGAGTCTTTCTTACAAGATGAATTTCATGAAGTCCAGTTGCAAGTCCTCACCAATCTTCACAAGATGGCCCATCTCTTGAACGGAATGAGCGGTGTCGTCACTTCGATTATCAACATGTCCAAAGCCACAAATTGGAGAGTCCGCGAAGCTGTGGCCAAGTTATTGCCCCACTTAGCGGAAGCCAGAGGGCTCGAATTCTTTGCCACAGTTTTGTTAGAACCTGCGTGGTTGACCTTGTTGCTGGATCCCGTCGCAAGCGTGAGAATGGCTTGTGTGCTTGGTATGCCATACCTTACCAAGGTCGCTGGACAAGATTGGATCATCCAGCATGTCTTGCCCCAACATGTTCGTTTGTATAATATGGCACAGTCAACATATTTGGTGCGTATCACTATTTTGAGGGCTCACACCGAAACTGCTGTCGCGGTGAAGTCGGGAAATCTTTGGAACGACAGTGTCCTACAGATACTTCGGGGTTTGACGGATAAGGTGGCCAATGTCAGGATGGTGTCAGCAGCAGGTCTCGCTAGAATCGTGGAAGATGGCGACCAAGCCATCGTGCAGGCTCAAATCATCCCCGCCCTGGAAAAGAGAAACCAAGAGGAGGAAGACGAAGATTGTCGGCTGGTATATCAAGAAGCTTTGTCAAGAGCGGGTAAATAGAAAGATACTTTTGAGCTGAGCGCAAAATTCATCCACGCGGTCTCCAGCCCATTCCGAGGATACTCAACACGCGGAACAATCGGCAGGCGGACAGCGGCGTATTGTAAACAGTCAGCGGATGCATTATCTCGATCATCGATAGTTGGGGCAATCTTGTGTCAGACTGGATCCAACATGATGTGATCCAGGAGTTGCATTTCAAATTATAAGTTATTGTTTTAGTGAGAATGATATGAAACAATGGATGGAGAAGCTGTGCGAAGTCAAGTGGTAGTAGTACTGTACAGCAGTAAACATTAGAGTGTTCAGATTAATCTGTTACTGCAAAGGGAAGGGTAGCCTAGCTAGCATTGAAGGACACGACCACGATAGCCGCGACAAGACCAAACACCGACGCCTGCAAGAGAGCACCAGTAGCGTTTGCGGGTCCGTGGTGGCGTCAGCGAATTTTGGACCCACAAAGCGCTACCGGTAGAACTCAACTTCTCCCCTCATTTCTTTTCGGAGATCCAACGACAACTGTGCACCGTATTCGCCATCAACAGAACGAGGCTGGTTGCTTTCAATGGGCTTCCGTGCACGAATAGCAGCACATCTCTATCAGCGTTTTCTTACACTGTTGCTGTTCGCCCGAAAAGTCGAGCTAGCTAGTTGTCACCCTGCAGACAGCTTCTTGTTGGCTTTCTCGATATCCTTCAAGAGGCTCTTTTCTCGTTGGCGGGCCTTCGCTCCGAACTTCCTTGCTTCTTCCTTTGTCACTCGCGTATCGACAAAGTACAGACTGAAATTCTTTCCTTCAGCCAACATCGTTTGCACCAGAGACTCCATGAAACCACTTCTCCCACAAACAATCTTGTCGCAAGATCCCCCAATGCGAAGTTCCGTCTCGATCGCCAACATTTCAAACCCCTCGTCTCCTGAAGGTATGTGACCATTGAAGCCCGCTTTCACACCACGATTTCGCGGTCGATCCAGATAGACCCAATTGTAATCCTTCTTGTGAAATCGCTCCACCTCTTCTATGGTCGTTTCATCATCTGTCAGCAGCACTATAGTGTCACCCTTTTGAAGCTCTGCCTTTTCAATGTATTCCGCTACAGCGGCATAACGGCGAAATGGCGGTCGGGGCAAGCCCGAGTCGCCTTGAATAGATAGATGATCAGGATGTGAGAAGAGTGGATGTTACCTGGAATACGGTAGTATCATCAAAACAGAACGCCTCGCTGCTTACCACGCCGTACATGCATGGTTGTGCATGGGTAGGTCACATTCAGTTTAGCTCTCATTTCATATAGCTTCTTTCTAAACACATGCCGAGGCCTCATCATGTAAGACCCCAGCCAAAAGAACTGACGAGCTTGTTTATTGTCTGCTTCATTGGGTCTGCTTTCATAATGCAGAGACTTCCCCGTGGCATTGCGATAGCAGGGAGAAATTGGAAGGTAGTAGCTGAATGAAATCATTGATAGATTCGATTCGATTCCGTCAACCCAGAGACCAAAAGAGGAAGAGAGTAGTAGTTTTGTAAGATGAAACTGACTCTGCCAACTGTCACATCTCCTACCTTACTAAGCGTACCACGTGATATCCTCACTGGCACAGTAGGCCCAGCTAGATCTATTCTCGGTTGCATAGAGCCATCTTCGCTTTCCCCATTCAATCTGAAAGGGTTTGCTTCCCAGATAGGCATGGTAGAAGGACATCATCAGCCAACGAGTAGCCGCCCCGAAGCCTGAGTTTTGCTGCATAGACGTCTCAACTTCTCTGCAAGGATCTTCCTGCTGCCACTGTCGCCAATGGATTTCTCTTATAAAGTCAGCCTTTTCTACGTCTTGAATAGGGCACATGCAATAGCTTGTGGCATTTTCCCGCGTGATCTCCCAGGTGGGGTGTTGGATCCAGAAATCATCCGCGTCAACTTCCCATGATCCACAGCACTCTAAGACATTGGTACCGCCAGAGCTGGTCTCATGACAGTCCAACGGATTCTCGACGTTGGTCCTTTTGGGTACCAACTCCCAAGAGAGACGCTCACTGTGAGCAAGGTTGCGCCCTCCCAGGTCGGAAACACTCGTGGGATCCTCCAGATCAAAGATCTCAGCAGTTTGAGCTTCTCTGATAGGTTGAAGCAACCATCCCTGGCGAAGGAGGAAAACCACCACTACAGAACCTGCCAACACTTGCCATCGACTGCGCATCTCCTCAGTCTATCATCCTTCAGTAGTTAGATGGAAAGTCACTACCGGTATCGGTATCGGTATCGGTATCGGTACTAGCATGCGGGAGAGGGAATGAGGGAATCCTTCTGCCTTCGATCTGAGTGAATCGAATCGAATCGAAATCGAATCGAATCCGAGGAGCTTTTGGTTCGACGCTTCGAGTTTGCCCACGAGAACGCCAACCCTAAAGTCATTGCCTTCCACGAAAGCTTCCACGTTCCACGCTTTCACAGAAATCAACGCCACACGTCAATGACGTCATTGGCGCAAGAGATGATGTTATGATGTTTCCCACATTCCACGATTTTTTTTAGAAAAGGCCGAAGCCCTCGACAGAGCCTTGCTCTCGTACGATGTATGTCCTGTGTCGAGCGAAGAAGCTGTATCTTGCTGGGAGTCCGATTCGGGGAAAGAGCCTGAGGAACCAAAGGATCCCAAGAAATCTGGATCCAATGAGTCCGATCTGGCAAGGTACCACAGGCGAAAAGAGCTACTAGTACCAAGATGCCATTGCTTCAACGCCCATGCGGCCACAAAATCTACTACGAAGTGAAAGGACGGGGCATTCCAATTCTCATGCTTGCTCCTGGAGGCATGAGATCATCAATTCCGAAATGGGAAAACACCTCAAAAATCAATCCTTGGACAACTCTTCCAACCGCCAAATTCATGATGATTGGCATGGATCAACGGTTTGCTAATAGATCGATTGGACGTGCGAGAAACAGTGACGGATGGGAGACATTCATGGACGATCAAATTGCTTTGCTAGATCATCTCGAAATCAAACGATGTCACATCGTGGGGAGTTGTATTGGACCTTCCTATGCTTTCAATTTGCTGGTTCATCACCCACGACGTTTCGGAAGATGCGTCATGCTGCAACCAATTGGGTTGGCACGTCATACCACTGAACCTCATTCGCAGTGGGCTGGACTCAATCATGATGCTGCGTGGTCATGGTTCAGTGACTTTGCGGGGGAACGAGTAACATCCAAGGTTTATCAAGGCAAGGAAGACTATGAAACTCTCAACGGTCTGTATGAAAGAATGTTTCAGAGTGGACGGGAGTTTGTCTTCAGTATTACCAGGGACCAGGCAACACGCATTGCAACACCATTGCTGGTCTTCATGGGACGGGACAAATCTCATCCAGCAGAAACGTCCAGGCAGATATGTCGCTTGTGTCAATCAGCAGAGCTCGTCGCAATATGGCGAAATGCAGGTCCTGGTGCCTTGGAGAAAGCGGAGGCCAGGATAGAAGACTTCCTGTCCGAACCTGTGTAGCAGTGCCAAAACTACTCCGACACACTTGGCCTACCACCAGAAAAGATATGTATACTGCATTACCAAATGGAGAGGCGGGAACTTTAAAAATAAGGGAGTCTATTCTAATCTACATACTGTTGCTAGCTAGGGCAAGTTCGCAGCCTTGCTCTCGTTGCTACCCCTCTTGCTTCCCCTGGTGACACCTCGTTCTCATCCAGCACACCCGCTGTTGCTGGTGGGGTTTCCTCAGGCGGAAACAGTGGGGCTGGCTTGTTGGTATGCAGAAAGCAAGCTGAAGGAAGCGGAGACCTTCCAGCGGGAACAGTTGCCTTACACGGTAGTACATGGCTCAAGCTCTCGGAGCTCCGAAGACCAGTCCTCGTTGCTACCCAAACTGCCAAAACTGTCTCCTCCTTCCGAAGACATTGCACACCATTCAGTCCCCAAAGAACGGTGGCTATCTGATCGTAATGAATCCAGTCTTGAGATGGCCAGCCGTCCCGAGATATTCCTGCGCATTTGAACAGAGGGCAACGGTATTTGCAGCGAGGACCGTTCTGGGGTGAGCTTTTGGAAGTTTGTTTGAATGTGGTTCACTTTTGCCAAGGCGCCCCATTTCTCATAACTTTCGATGGCATTCTCCATGTACGACTTCGCACTCCCTCTATTTCGCCGCCTCCCGAAATGAATTCCAGCACGTTCATTACCGAGTGCTCGAGACTGTAAGAATCCGAGCTTGGCACTTGCCTGGATAGCTTCATCGTACGCTAGCCTGACCTCTTCGGCTAAAGCTTTCTTGGTCGCCAGTTCTTCTGCTTTCAAAAGGAGCAGCAAGTGGTGCACATTCCAGTTGCCTCCTTCTACCCAAGACACGAATGTGTTGCTGATTTCCTTTCCAGCTTTTCGAAAGCTATTGCGTTTCAGCTGGTTATGTTTGTGTTTTTGTGCCATTGCAAACATCACCATTCCACGGTAGAAGAGCTGATAGGGATAGAAAGCACCAATTGAAGTCAAGTCGTTGTCCGACAGCTTCTGCGCAAATTCATGCGCTTCTTTGTACATGCCGAACAAGTACCAATGAATCATTTGGAATAAGTAGTATTTCTGAAGAGACTGATGGTCTCCTTTCCGCGTCATTTCATCTTCAAAGTGCGCGGCGCACAAGGTACCGTGAAACTCGATGGCGTCAGAGTCCTTGCCATAGTCCGCCTCATCGCGACCAACCAGGTTTGACACAAACTGCATAGTTCGACGAAGAGTGTGAGCAACCGAGAAATACGGACTTGTCGAACGGGTCTTCTTCAACGTACCTGAAACAGAGGAGCGTCACCGAGCTGAGCTTGGACACGTCGATTGTCCTGGATTTGTCCCGTCACTCGTTCGATATCACTGTAGACAGGGTCGAGCTTCAAACCAGCACAGAGGTAAAGCTCAACGTAGACGGATGTGTCAGCGAAGTAGTTGTCTAGATCCCCATTCAGCCAGTACTGTTGCAAGACTTCACCCATGTTCTCGACAAATGATTGACACGAGGCTCGCCAATGTCCGACATAGTAGCTATAGAGCGTTCTGCATCGTCCATCATAACATGTTACTCCCGGTCGCTCTTTCAGACACCGCAAGCTCAGCTCGCCAAATCGGTGGCTTTCGTTGGTTTTTCCCTTCAGCATGCAGAGGATTGCAAATTGTACGAAAGATATGCAGGAGAGCACCGTGCCACCGTATTCCAGCGTGGCTTTCATGGACACCACAAAGCAGAGCATTCCTGTCATAGAATCGGATGTCGCAAAAGCAAGGGTGGAAAGCTGGTCGTAGAACTTGAGAATGGACAATGCATTTGGGTTTGAGGCTTGTGGCATGTTGATTAGCTCGTCGTCTGATTTCGAATCGAGCTCTTGTAGAACATGATCGATGGCCTTGTCGATATCACCAGTCGAAATCTTCTCGGGAAACGCCACCCCTAGCGAACGCAAAACAGTCGTTGCAAGCTGCTTGGCTGCAGTGCCCTCTCCGCGCTGAATGAGGGCGACCAACTTGGAATAATACGCTGAAATCTTTTCTTCCAGCGAATTGCCGTATTGAATGATTTGATCCGCCACGTTGATGCATGTGTCTACACGGCCACATTGACTCTCGACTCTGACTCTCAAATCGGAAATCTGAAGCATGAGACTGTGGTTCTGTTTCCAGGCTCCCTCGGGTGTTGTTGACGACGAAAGCACATCCGTAGCTTTCTCCAGGAATGCCGCCGCCGGGAATAGCGACGACCGCTCGCTGGCGGCTAAAGCGGCTTTGTAGTTGGTCTCGGCGAGTCTGACCTTCCAATGGTGCTCCGTAATCAAATCGTGGGCTTGGTTCAGCAGGCCAGCAGCCTGAAACAGTCTGAGAGGAGATTTCGAATCTACCATCTCCAGAAGCTCTTTCCCCAAGCAAAGGAACAATTGTTTCCGTTTCATGGAACACTCTGGCAGTTTTTCAAGTGCGACTTGCCTAACCTTTTCATGCGCAAAACGAAAGCGTCCAGGTAGAACGCCTTTGAGGACAATGCCCTCGCCCACAAGGTCTCTAATGTTTTGTCGCAGCAGGTCAGCTCCAGAAGCAACCCCGTCACCTTTTCCATAGAAATTCAAGTAAGGAACGAGTAATCTTTCCAAAACCTCCTTCTCGAATTCGGAGCTGCCCAGTGCGGCTGCCAAAACCGTAACATCTTGTTGCATGTCCGACAAGGACCGCAGCTTTTCCGCTGCAACGTCCGCCAGGTTGGTGGTGACTTCTGCTCCACTGGTTATTTGTTGCAAATCAAACTGCCAGTTCATTTGAAGCCTTGAATATGTCAGCATGCCCCTTTGTTCCAGCATTCGAATGAATTGGATGCAAAAGTAATAGCTTCCTCCTGTCTTATTGTGAATCACAATTGCGAGCAGGTGTGTTTCATCCGCCGGTAGCTTCAAGAGGTGACTTAGCATATTGTTGACACCCGCCACTGTCAGATCGTCAAACTGTATTCTCTCCGCCCTCAACGAGTTGATGGCATCATCGACCGTAGATTTTGTTGTTGTTGTGCCATCCACTAGAAGACGATGCGTCCCGACAAAGAAGAAACTTTGCTTGTGAAGGACATCATCCTCCAGGAGCGTTCTCAAGAACATGACTGACTCCTTGTCTGCGAATTGTAGATCATCGAGGGACAGCACGATGGCGTAGTCTTGAGACAGCACACGGAAAAAATCTCGAAAGGCTCTTATTCCCAGCAGGGCCACATCTTTTGGTGAAATCCTTCCGGTTTCGGTAGTGAAGGAGTTGCGACCGTCTTTGGCCAGGAAATAAGCGAGGTTCGGCACCAACGTCATGAGGACATCTAATCGGAGAGACGAGTCCAGTGATGATTGAAGCCGTTCCCCCCACTGTCCACCAGTAGCCTCATCGGAATCGCGCACCAGAGCGTCGACAATTTCCGCAATGGCATGACTAATGGTCTGGAATGGCAAGGGAGAGAGCGCGAGCTCAGGGTGTTGCTCAAAGCGCCCGTTCCCCACCAGAATCACTCGATTCTTAGTAGCGTCCTGGTGATGATGACTATGGACTGGGCATGTGCCTGAAATATCCTTCAACAGCTGCTTGACAGTATCGCATTTGCCACTCCCTGCTTTGCCTTGCAACAGAACAGCAAAGGTTGCTTTTCCGTTGTTGGAATCCTCAGGAATTGTCCTCATCATTTCGGACATGGCCAGCTGAGGCGCAGTAGTTTGTTGCTGTTCGTCGTCGTCCGAGTCGTCATCATCCAGCAACGAGTTCTTCTTGTTGGTCTGGTTATTAGAATCTGTTTGTTTCTTCATCATTTCTTGAATCCTCAAAAAATCATTGGCATTTGTCGTTTGACTCCCAGACATGACGGGAAGTGGAGCAGGAGGAGCGGGAGGTCCTGAGGCAGCTTGAGATAGCTTGAGTTGTCTTTGGATAATGTCCTTTAGCATCGAGTATTCCTTTTCGCGAGCCGAACTGCTGAGGCAGTCAAATAGTAGCATGGACCTTGGCTCTAGCCGAAAGGATTTGCTCTTTTTGCTCAAGGACCGTCTCATCAATGTCGATTGTTTCTGTTGTTTCAACACTGGTCGAGGATCATCCTCCTTGCTTTCACTCTGAGAACTCGTATTGTCGTCACCACCTACATCTTTGGCAACGAACCGGAAGAACAGGTGGTCGTCCTTCAGATCATGTCCATCCGTCACATGTCGGAACAAATCCAGCTCTTCAGCCAACAGCCGCCCCAAGTGAACAGCTGCTTTTCTCGACTTGACGTAGGGTAATAGTGCGTCGACGGCTTCGCTGCCCAAAAAGCACTGAGAATAAGTTCTCAACCGAAATCGGCGGTCCTTAACCTTCAGCTTGGTCCTCAAGACGGCGGCGATGGTCTCCAAGGAAGGCTTCAGATCTGTGGCGGGAGACGATCCACCACCCGACTTGGGGGACCAGCTGTGTCTTATTGTCTGACTTCCTTTCCTTCCTTCCGTCTTGCCAAAGCTATTAGCGCGGAGTGAAACACTTGGCCTCCTCATCGTGATGGTTGTGGGTACTGGTAGAACTGTTCGTTTTTTGGAATGAATGAAGTGCAGCGGCACAGCCATCCAAAGCGGTGCCTGTTTTTTAAAAACACGGGGGGATCTCTGGGGATCGTACATTCTTACGCTTCCTCGAAAAGGGGAAAAGAAAGTCATTTATTTGCTTTGACTGAGTTGAACAGTTATTAGTTGAACAGTTGAACAGCTGTTCTCTAAGATCAGCCGACTTAGGGATAGATCCCCAATACGGTCTTTGATGTCCCAGCTCACGTCCGCTTTGCAAAGTGTTCTTGATTGCTCTGCTCTTTTGACCATTGTCCATTCATCACTGCTGGGACGGCTGGAACGCTGGGACTTTATCAAGCCCTTGAATCGCCACAGCCACCATAACACGTGTTTTAATGTTGGACCTGTCATCAATAATCAATAGCCACAGGCAACATGCACGTAAACCCAGTCCTCGGGAGGAGTACGTACAGCAATCAGAACCTGGTGCAGCTACAGGGCCAGTACCGGTACCGGTAGCCATCGGCCTGCCAATTGCCAAGGTACCAGGTACTAGCTCGCTAGTAGTAGCATTTCTCTTGGCCTCTTGCTTGCAGACTGCAGGTATCAGGCCAGTCGGCAACTATTACTACATGTACAGTACTCCTACTTGAGTATGTGAATTGATTTACTGATTTACTATTTACTTGACTGCTTGACTGAAAGCTTCAAAGAAATAGAGGATCTCACCATGATGCAAGGTGAAAGCTGGGTTTCTGGAGTGCTTTCATACTTCCACAAGAGACAGCTAGCTAGCTATGGTATTGACAAGGGGATTTCTAGTATTGGAGAGGCAGGGCTGCAAGGTTAGAGGTTAGATCTAGATATTTCAGCTGATATTTATTTCAATCTTTCGTTCCCGCAGTGAGAAGCGACAACATTTTGGCTATTAGTACGCTGAGTCAGCAGAGTGGCCAATCATGCTTTCCTTCCAAATTTCTAGAGCCTAGCTAGCTAGCACTGACTTGTTGCCTCCTCGGCAGGCCAAATACATGTACCGATACATGTAGTTTCGATCGAAGTTACAACGAACAGTTCACTTTCTCCGAGCAGCAGCTGCGGATTCGACATAGATATCCGCTGCCCGACAGCGGACCTACGAGCTTCGAGGCATCGCAGGTTCATGCAAGAGACTGGTGACTGGCTGAAGACACCTTGGGTAGAGCGAAGCACAAGCAAGTAAGTATTGCTCACGATCGGAGCAGCTCGAGAGCTCGAGACTAATCCAGCCAGCCAATCATGGATATGCCACACTGGCTCTTGGCTGCACCACCAACATCACATGCATGGGAGGTACAGTACCACAAGGTAGCTGGTCTACTCGATCGTCCTAGCTACTAGCTAGCTATCTTTCTCAATGACCACAAAACACATACTCAAGTATGGTACCAACATTCTCCTAAACTTCCGCTCGCTCGTCTTCCAATTTCGTCTCGAGGCGCGGGAGCCAACCCATGCTCGCGAATCGAGCAGCTCCGAAGGCTCCTCCCACGACCTCTCAATGGCAGTGCGCTGCACCGAAACGGATCAATAACGTTGAGCATCCATGCAGAGCCTCTAGATGTGGAGCAGCAACGTGCTCTCCCATCTAGATAAAGCCACCTAGCATTGTGAGAATGCGCACTTGAAATCTCTGTATTGCAGCCAAGCCTAGCAAGTACAACTGTCAATGATCAAGCCACACAAAATTTTGATTGTTTGAACAAACCACAAAACGGTTCTATAGAACAACATTACTTTTGAAAGCATTTGCATCTTGTCAAGAGCTACAGTTCACACGTTCTATCTATCGATCGATCTAAATCATGGCCACCACTGAAGAACGAGAATTGCTTCGCGCCAACAAACATGGGCCTGTCCTTCAGCTCTGGCTGGATAAAGATTCGCAGCACCAACATGTGGCCTCTGCACTTCGAAAGAACAAGACCGTGACAACGGTCAGCGTGTTTGTGGAAGAGGACTTTATGGAAAGCCCACTGCAAGACATTGCCCATCTTTTCCGCGCCATAGGATGCCTGCCGCTGCAGAATCTGTACATTTACTCGTTTGGTCGAAACTTTGATGTGTTCCCCATCCGGCTCCTCATCGAGGTCTTTTCGCGAGCCAAAAAGTTGGAAGTTCTCACCATGTACTTTATCGAACTCGGTGGCAAGAAGAAACACTTTGATGCCTTTGAAGCAGCCATCCGTGGCCACCCTTCCCTCCGCGAATTTCGCCTGGAGAACTGCAGGCTGCCCGATGATTACTTGAACACTCACGGGCTAGATCAGTTTGTCAAGACGTTGGGAACTTTGCCCAAGATTGAGAAGATTGACCTGTTTGCAACTGAAATGGGTTACTTGGGCACACTGTCCAAAGAGTCGATGGCAAACCTGGCTGGAATCAAGAATCTGGCGTGTCTCTCCTTGATCAACTTTGCCTTGGGCAATGATCACATTACAGCATTGAGTCAAGCTTTGAAGGGGAACACAAATCTTACAGAGCTTGCCATTTCCTGCGACCCCAAGTTTTGCTCTGCTTTGGCCCCTGTGATTGCGACCAACCAAACGTTGAACCAAGTCAAGGTACGCATGGATTCTCTGGATGACGATGTTTTTGTGCAATCCATTGCCGGTGGCCTGAAGGACAACAAGAGTATTACAAGATTCGATCTGCAAGGGGACGTCCAGAACAAACTAAGTGTCGCGAGTCAAAAGATCTTTGCGGACATGTTGGAAAAGAATTCCACATTGGAGTACTTGGAGATTCCCTTGACCGACCAGGATAGCAAGATGAAGGCGAAGTATTACCTGAAGCTCAACCAGACTGGCAAGCGTGGATTGATGGAGAATCCGGGAACGTCCAAGAAGGAATTGGTCAACGCTTTGGCGTATGTGGGCGACGATTTGGACTGCCTGAACCATTTCCTGGCCACCAAGCCAACCCTGGTTCATGACTAGAAAGCAGCTTTTGTATGCTCCTGACTCCTGATCCTTTGGTTGGACTTTCGTGGCGTGGTAGCTTGCTCACCTAGCAATGTATGAAAGGGAATGCTAGAGGGTGCAACACTGTATGTATGATGGTAGTGGTTCATTTTGTGCTGAGACGTTTCAACTTTCATAAAGACTAGATATTTAGCTGTTTGGTAACGTACTTTGGAACATTTTCACTAGAGCCCCTCCCTGTAGCAAGACCAGCACTGCATTTGTCGACCATTCCAGAATTTCAAGTTGCCGGACGTATTCGCAGCTACGGTAGCTACATGTAACTAGCTATGCATAGGTTGCCACTATCTATTGGTGTATCGGCCGCTTTTGCGACTGACTCACAACAACTAACTGTGATCCAGTTTTGCTTTTTACTTTTTCTTGCTGTCACTGCTACCACTATCCATGGTGACATAGGCATTTTCCTGCACTTTGGCAGCCGTTTCCTCCAATAGATCTCGCTTCTTTTGATAATAGTCTTCTTCCAATTGGAATCGTTGTCGGAACTCATCTTCCAGTCTCTTGTCTGCCGCTGCCCTTTCTTCCTCGAGCAATGCCAATTTTTCCATGATCACCGCCAACGGTGCAAGACTGTCTTCATTGTCCAATACCTTTTCATTCCAATTTCCACTCAGTTGTTGCTGGAACCGGCTTTGTTCTGCCGCAGCCATGGCGGGATCTTTGGGTTCTACAGTGGTGGTGGTTGTTGCATTCGTGTCGTCGGCCGCCAGCCATGCCATATCCTCCTTGGCCATGTCGGAAGCCGACGGAAAGCCATCGGCAAACCAATCGTCGTCGCTCTTGACGGCTGGTTTGGTGGTGGTGGTGGTGTCTGCAGCTGGAAATGCATCACTCATGTCCAAGTCGGGAACGTTTCCGGTACTGCTTTCCATTTCTGGGACCGCTGTGGGTGGCGCCTTTTTCTTGACCCGTCGACGCTTCTTTTTGCGTTTGGGTGGTGCTGCTGCCTCCTCTGATGTATCTGTCGCTGCTGTGGCTGAGGGTGTACTGGTAGCTGCCGCGGCGGCGCCTGCTGCTGCTGCAGCCGTTTCGGGGACAGGTCCTGTTGCTGTCGCTGCCGAATTGGAAAACACTTCCGCTTCTGTGTCGACATTGATGGATCTTCGAAAGGAAAACGCGTCGTTCAATTCTTGTTGTGCTTTTCGAATTTCCTTCAGCTCCAATTGGGATTCCATGGTATTCTCAAATGTTTTGGTTGCTTCGGTCCCTAGCGTTCGAATATTTTGAATAAACTTTCCAATCTCCTTGACCAGTTTGTACAGGTCGGATGGTCCCAGCACAAAGTATCCAACCAATAGAATTGTGGCCTGCATGCAGCACCATGCAAAGTACAAAGAAAAATGATGTGAGCGGTGAGTAATCCTGACTAGAAAGTTGTCTTTCTCCTTCCATTTTCTTGGGCCATTCACGTCACGTCACGTCACGTCACGTACAAGCTCTGGAGTGCCAATACCAAAGAGTCCCCCATCAGATCCCATGAAACTGTTGAGACTGGTGCTACTAGTAATACCGCCATGGCTGTTGGCAGACGATGATTGTGAAGGAGGATTCTCATCAGGAAAGAAGTTTGGTCGAGCTCCCGATGAAGGATGTAGAGGAGATGGCACGGACAAGAATCTTCCATTCGAAGAAGACGGTTGAAAGGAAGACACCCATGATGGAGCCGTTGTCAGCAAGAAGCAGAGGCACAGTATGGAAGACGCTGCGCCTCTCATTATTCTGCTTCTGTGATGATGTGTTTTTTGATGGAGTGGCATCTTTCTTGCACTTTTTCTTCTACTCTACTCGAGTTTCCTTGTCGCTGTTCTACTTCTATCTATCTCTTCTCCTACCAGTAGCTAATCAACGATGCAGCCATCAGACCTCCAATCTCCGTCTCTTTTGCTTTCTTCGATTGTACGGAGGCGGTCAATGCCTTCAACATGGCTTGTGTTTGAAGAAACTGACGTCGTTCGATCGAAGGTTTCACGTGGAACGTTATGGATTGAGTTACATGTAGGGATGAGGATTTCATCCCCGTGCCTCATTTTTCTTCCCACGCTCCCACCACGCTCCCTCCACACTCCGCATTCGATTCTCAAGCCTCAACAAACTTTTGAAGCTCATAAATTTTGATTGTTTCAGGCTCTATTCTATTCCTTTCGCCACTGAAGGACAAACACACACCCTTTCACCACCGAAACATTTGCCTCTAAAGTTGGTTGGTTCTTTGCTCTCTTCAATGGTGCGGCCGGGCCGATAAGCACGGAAGGCACAGCATGTCATGCCACCGGGGTTGTGGCAGTTGTCGCGGTGCACGGTCTATGCTGCTCCTCATCGGCCCAGCGTTAGACTTTTGACGGTTGCGTATGGACGAAAACAGATCGTGCCTGCCCTGTCAGCCACCATGCCAACAACCAGCTGTACAGTATCTTTCCATACGGCAGGATCGCATGACCTTCATGTATGCGCTCGGCGTCGTCATTGCCCTACGAGACTGCACTTTCGCAATTTTTTGGGATCCAAAGGTCGCTACGAAAAGTACCGTAACATCCAACACAATGGTCTACTGTATGGGTCAAAGGTGTATTCACTACTACGGTACTTTAGAATCACTTAGAACATGCGTCACCAGCACACATGCATCGAGAGCACTCTAGAGGTGGTACATGATTCCAGCCGCAACCGAAAGAACTGAAATGAAAGACTTGGCGGACTTGGAGAAAGCACTGCTGGCGGGGGCCTCGGTGCTGCTTCCCGCAGGAGCACTAGTATCAGCATCCGAGGGAGTTTCAGCAGGAGCATCAGAACCAGTTTCTCCTTGGGATTCTCCTTCAGCAGCGAGCTCCAAATCAATCCACTTGGTTCCGCACCCTGTTAAATAGTGACCTGCGTCCGTCCAACCAGTCTCAGCAGTCTCATAGGGGTCCCAAAAGGCAATTCCAAACTGAATTGTGTCACCAGCACTCAACTGTGCATCGGAAACGGCCGAAGCTGTCTGAAGCGTGCGGGACAATTCAAAGTGATAGGTTCCGAACTCTCCTTCCACCGGGTTGGTATGGGCCCAAGCACCAGCCCATTCGTTTCCGGCATCAGCATCGTCATCATCAAAGCGACAGTAGGGGCTCACGGCGTATTCATCGTCATTATTGGCAATCAAATCATTTCCAGGAGGATTTTCAGGAGGTGAGGTGCTATTGTCTCCCTGACGATTATTGGATGTAGAACTGTCCGAGACTCCGTACAGAGTATTTTGTTCGGTTCCTTTCAATTCCCAGTGCGCTCCAATGTCCACGCTGCCCATGGGGAAGAAAATAAAGGCAAACAAAACACAAATTAGCCAAACAAGTCGCCACATGGGTAGCAGCTGGACCAAGAATGCGATGCGCTGATCTTACCGATAGTCATCGCAGGTATCAGGAACGCCGTTTTCACACCCGTTGAGCGCATCCGGGCATCCTCCCATGTTGAGAAAGGTTGCCTTCTCTCCTACCTTGAACATGGTGCCAATGGCGGCACACAAATGATTGTCTTCGGTACTGAACCTATACTCCCCAGGAATCTCCATGGCAAAATAGATGTGGTCCGCAGTGTACTGGCACTTGTATGTGGCCTTACCTCCTTCGTATTCACCTCCAGTGTATTTCACCAATGTCGTCTCGTAGGCGGCAACATCTGCCCATTCACCATGATCCGCATCCAAAATGGGAGGAGTTGTGGTGGGCAAACACTTGAAAGTGGCAGCGCATTGCTCATCGTCTTGAGCCAATGCTGGAGACATGGACCCAAGCAAGAAAAGGGCGAAACTGGTGCGGGAGAGCATCATTTTGAATCAAAGGTTTGGTATTGGCGGGCAAGAGGAAGGCAACTTTTCGAATCAAACAAATCCACTCAAAAAAGTGAGGATTGCCCAGACTGTTTGGAAGAGGTCCGCTCCTCAAGATACAATGAAGACCAATCTTACCAAATATTTGTTTCAACAGCCTGAATGAGAACTGAAATCTTTCGTGCACCCTACTGGCCATGGTACGAGTACCAGTACTAGGTAGATTGGCCTTCATTTCCGCTCGGAGAGTGAACGAAACTACATGTGCTTTTAGCCGAAGCCAATGCTCCGGAGTAACTGGATTAGCCTATTGCCATAGACCAAGTAAAGAAACATCCCAAACATTCATCGACTTTTCGATTATGCCTTGCCGAGACTCTGTGGGAAGCACCACAACAGGAAAGGAACCATACCTCTAGCAACCGCTTCCCGTGGGTAGCCCACTCCAGCTTGAACTCATTTCTACAATATTTATTGAGGACTTGAGTTGATGAAAAGGAAAGGTCGCGTTCATTTGGCCAATCATCGATTATCGATTGGGAAGTTCTCATCTTTAAATCTGTGTCTCGGGTGTCAAAAAGTAAAGCTGTTTAAGCTGTAAGTCGTGCTTTCAGACATTGGTCGTGCCGTACGTACTCTGAGCACCACAGTTCCAGTACACCATACAGAATTCACGTTCCGTTACGGCTTGCCGCGTGACCTTTCTCAGTACGGTACTCGAGTAGCAATCAAAATTGCTGAAAGAACTTACTGCAGTGTCTTCCCTCCTCTACAGACTACTAGTACTCAGTACTGAGTACAGTACAGAAAAGATCCACCAAAGTTTTTCCGAACTTCCCCGCTAAAATAATTTATAAAGCATTGTTCGCTACTACCGGTATTAAATAGCACATTTTGACTTTTAATTAAAAAGGGGCGCGGAACTCGGCAATTACTGGAGTGGCGTCTGTAGCATTTTTTTGGAAAGCGGAGCATGCATGTCATTGTTTCGGGTGGTTCCGGGTCCTTGCGTACGTGTACAGTAGGTCTACTAGCAGACAGCAAGGTGAACCATCAGCCAAGACGGCTTGTCACCTGGCCTGTACTGGTAGCCTGTGAGCTAGCTAGTCTATTAATAGCCTGTAGCAATCAAAATGGCTCAATGAACTTACTACCTGGTATCATACAATAATTGAGGATTGGGCATTGGGATGAAAAGCTCCCTCTGCGTACGTGTACCTGCTGTCAATCTATAAGCTGTTTGAGCTGTTATTCAACTCGTGCTTTTAGACGTGGGTGGCGGCTTTGAGAGGGCAGAGACAGGAACACTCACGCGTACGATAAAGTAAGGATTTCGGAATTAGAGCTGATTGAGATTCTCTCCAATGTCGTAAGTCGTAAATGTCGTAAATGTCGGAGAGTGATGTCGTAAAAAGCTTACGACGTTTACGACATCCTACGACATTTCTTAAATCCTACGACATTCTATGACATTCTACGACATCGCCAAATGTCGTAAAATTTAAATCCGACAATAGGCGTAGTGTTGAGAGATTTAACGAAATGATCTAAAAGGCTTAATACTATCTCTCTCGCTAAATGTCGGATTTGTCGGATTTAGCGATAAGAGAAAGCTTCTGACATTCTACGACATCGCTTAAATATTTACGACATTCTAGGATGTCGGAATTTACGACATTTTCGACATTTAAATCGCTTTCAGTAAAGACTTAAGTTGCTATAGTGACTTTAAATCCTCAAATACGACTTTTCCGGGGGTGTTCCAGATCTCGAGGACAGGACGTCTGGAGCGTCCCTCAGTCGTGCAAAACGCCCCTAAATAGGGGCATGTTTGGAGTCCGCCCTTAAATCCACCCCTAAAATAGTGGCGTTTTGTCATTTAGAGGCGGATTCTCCAAAATGCCCCTATTTTTAGGGGCAGGTTTCAAACCTGCCCCTAATGGGAATCTGCCCCTAAATCTGCCCCTAATTTGGGAACCTTTGGATTTAAACTAATCCACGATTGAGAAACGCTCCTGGAAACGTTGTCTGCTTCTGTCTTCTGTGCGATGAGAGGCGTATGCTCATTGTGTTGTGATCCGTCCCCATAGACATCGTTTTGAGGAAGAGAGGAGGAAGAAAAAGATCACAAACACAGGAAAGGGAAAGAGACCGGAATCAACTCCCCACCAGCAACCGTGGCCATCCGAACCAAGATATGGAGGAGCTGCACAATCTTCCATACGGAAACAGGCTTAACTTCCTACGGACGAGGGGGAAGAATCGCTACGCTTTTCATCACGAGGAACCCGATCTCCATGACCGTAGGTTTGACGGCTATCAAATTTCTGTTGTTGATGAGCGCACCACGGAAAGAGTGAAGTATACACTTCCAGGAGATGGCTGGTCCGTCAAGGCAGAGCTCTTTCCACTGCGAGAGCTAATGTACACCTTTGTTGAGCAGATAAATGTTCGACTTTGTCAGCTTGAATTTCGATTCGGGGAGAAGGTCTTAACTCTAAATTCCACACCGCAATCCCTTGGTATGACAGCCACGGGCGAAAATGTAATCTCAGTGCGGGCCGTCACTTCATCGTACGATGAACGCGTCGGCTGCTTCACCCGTCTTAACCGGATGGGCAAAGTGTCTGTGGGTGTTGGTCCACACCAGGGAGACGTTTTTGGCACTGACTTGTTGCCTCGGATCCTCGAGTATGCTGGGCTTGAGACATTGGCGGCTGCATGCCAGGTGTGCCGTCACTGGTTCCACGTTGCCCAAAGGTTCTCCGTGTTGGTTCAGCTTCAAGATGGTGATGCGGATTCTTGGCAGCACAACCAAAAGTATCCTCTTTTGCTCCATGATGGATGCAGGCATTCCTTCAATGTGGCTCTCTGCCAAGCTTCGGAGGCTTCTGGCACAAACGCCAACGAAATCAGGTGGAACTCCACTACTATGCTAAAGGAAAAGACTGTCAGCTTTGGCTACTGCAAGGCTGCCGGGTGCAGAGTACTCAAAACTGTCGAGATGCAGTCCATCACAAGGGATTTGGAATCCAAGTGGGAGGCCCTGAATAATGCCAAAACAGCCTTCATGAGGTACGTCGAATCGGCTCAGGCGGCAACCGAGGGCGACCAAAAGAAACACGCCCACAAGGCGACTGGACAAACGCAAGACTTTCCACCTGAAGGCGAAGCAGGCAACGGCTTCATCGCCGAGGCGCGCGATTGGAGATACAAGAACTGCGCCGTGGAGCTCTACCGACGTTACTTCAGCCCAGATATGTTTTTCATATTTCCGCTCATTGTGAACTCAGAGGCAGCTTTTGGACTTGATTTTTCCAGTTGTGTGACGAGCCTCATTTTTGGAGAACTGTCTGATGATGAAGCTCAACCAAGGGCAAACAGGATGCAGAGGCTGATGAATCGGGCCAACCCGGTTCGTCGCCCGCTCACTGCCGACGGCCTGCCCAGGCCGCTGGGTTCCGTGTCCTGGCGCATCCACGACGCCACCGAAGTTGCTGCTGTCGGCACTGGCTTTGGTCCAGGAGCCATGGATAGCATGGATGCAGCCCCCCTGGATGCAGCCCCCCTGGTTATGATGAATGGTTCCAAGCCACAGATTATTTTGGAGGTGTTGTTCATTGCAGTTTGGGAGGGTGATCGTGGCGGTGAGTATGGATCATCGCTTGTGGCTTCTCTGGAGTCCAAGGTCACTCAGTATGCCAAGTCACAAGGGCTCCGATCCGCTCTCATGTATGTAGAGGTTGGCTACGAGCAACCCAAGGCAAAGGTGTTCTGGGGCAACAACGGCTTTTCTCCGGTGGTTGACAAAGCACAGGGCATCCATACCCAAGATGATCTCTTGACTGGGCGGATGGTGGCCCTTGAAGATTGGCAGTTGGGCTTCATTGATCGACGTTGTCTGAGGTTCAAAGATACCGTGCAATACGCCAAGACGGTACTTGTCGAATAAAAAGAGAGTAGAGCCACTTGTTCTGAGGGCATGTAAGGCGTATTTGGCGATGTCGAATCACTTACTCCAGAGCAGAGCAGAGCAGAGTCTAGTTAATAAAAATAAAAAGAATACTAAAAGTCAATGAGTTTCCTGACCGACAGTGTTGTTGCTTGCGGCGTGGCTTGAATCGAATGAATGAATGAATGAATGAAGAATGCATGACGAATCATTGCCAAAGAAAGGTTCGGTCACGGTTGCTCTTACGAGAATGCGATGGTGTTGCGTGGTGGCTATGGTTTTTGTTGATTGTTTATAGATGGATATATAGTTGGCTCTACTATATAGCTAGTCTACTAGCTACATGGACTTGAGTTTGTCTTGCCATTCTTGTGCTCCCCAACTACTTTCACTCTCGGCAATCAAGACGCCATCAATGACTTGTTTGGGTGTGGAAACCACTCCGAGTGCCAATGCTTCTTTGTGTTCGGTCCATGCTGGTTTGATGGCCAATTCCCAGTCATGTAAATTGGCCAAGAAGAAGTCTTTCGTAAAGCCGTCATCCGCGTCAAAGAATCCACAGTCTTGTGCAATATTGGCAAAAATGAGATCGACTTCACTCTTGCGGGCATCACCAACGGCAGCGTTCATGAAGGATTCTTGTTGTTCCATACATGCCGTAATGAATTTGTGTTTGCCGTCGGCGCCCTTGTTGTTTTCAATCAAACTGGCGGCACATTGGGCCGTAAATGCTTGTGGATGAAAGAGCAGCGACGTCAAATGAATCGAAAACTCATAGTCGGATCCGAATTTGTCCTTGATTTCCGACAGTTTTTCCCAATTCTTTTTGGAAAAGGGACACTGCAAGTCCCAAAATACTTTCCAAGATTTCTTGTTACTAGTACTCATTGTTGTTATTGCGGATCTTTGTTTGTTATTGTTGTTGGTAGTGGAGCGGAGCGAAAACGAAAGCAGCGAAGAAGACGATGAAGGAACCTGTCCAAGCTGTGATGGTTTGGGGATGGAGAAGAGAACGACAACACTGGTGATCAAGACGACAAGGAATGGCAGTGTTGGGCTTGTGGGCTTTCTGTGCTTCTTTACTTTCATCCAAACAACCTCAATAAGAACAAGCAGCCGGAGGCTGATGCCCTCAACTGTCAAAAAGAGATTTGATTCCGGAATCAAATCCTTAACATCTTTGGTCAACTGGACACACTAGCACGTCTCAATAGCCAGCCAGTAC